ACTGGTTTCAAGTGTGTGTGCAGTGTAAGCAAACAGCCGTCTTCACCTCAACAGTCTCTAAACTTTGACTCACTGCATAGCACAGCGGTGGGATCACATTCTCTGGGCTATTGCAATATCGTCTGCTGAGCTCCACAGAGAAGACGAAGAAGCAGCAGCAGAGTGGCAGAGGCGGCCTGAGTTAGATTTACTGCAGTAACCGTTTCGTAAAATTCTCAGAACTCCCATACTTTTAGTCCTACTGGAGTTACATATTTTACAGTAATAGTACTCTTACTTGAGTGAAAGTTTTGGCTGCTTTTCCCGCTGTGAGTAAGACTGTAAGTGACAAAAACTTTATCTTGGCAAAATGAAATGATTTGAATATTTGTCCTTCAGAGATGAATTCATTTATAATATTTTGCACTTCTTAGTTTTGTCCTTATTACGTTTGCTTCAAATTAAAATCATTCTTGAGTAGTAGTTTCTCAAATACTCTCAAATACTCTTACTTGAGTTATTTCCTGGATCACTACTTTGCACTTTTACTCGAGTATTATCCTTCCGAAGTAACCTTTGTGCTACTTGAGTAAAATTTGTATACTTTACCCTCTTCTGCTCATCCTTAAGTATTAGTTGTCCAAAATACTTTTTTACTCTTACTTGTGTCATTTCCTGGACCACTATTTTATACTTTTACTTGAGTATTATCATTTTTAGGGAATTTTTTTGTTACTTGAGTACAACCTTTGGCTCTGCTACTCACCTCTGCTCTTACTTGAGTTGTAGTTGCCCCAAATACTTTTATACTCTCACTTGAGTAATTTCCTTTGTACTTTTACTCGAGTATTATCATTTTGAAGTAACCTTTGTGCTACCTGAGTACAACCTTTAGCTATGATATCCACCTCTGCTCTTACTTTTACTACTACTTTTACTCGAGTAAAATTTGTCTGCTCTACTTGCCTCTGTTCTTACTTGAGTAGTACTTGTCCCAAATACTTTTTACTTTTACTTGAGTCGTTTCTTGGACCACTACTTTGCACCTTTACTCGAGTATTATCATTTGGAAGTAACTTTTGTGTATACTTTTGGCTACTCTGCTCTTACTTGATTAGTAGCTTTCCCAAATACTTTTTTACTCTCACTTGAGTCATTTCCTGGACCACAACTTTGTGCTTTTACTCGAGTTTTATCATTTTGAAGTAATCTTTGTGTGTACTTTTGGCTACTCTACCAACCTTTGCTCTTACTTGAGTAGTAGTTTTAATGAATACTTTTTTACTCACACTTGAGTCATTTCCTGAACCACTACTTTATACTTTTTATTCGAGTATTATAATTCTGAAGTAACCTTTGTGCTACTTGAGTAAAATTTGCCTACTCTACTCATCTCTACTCTTACTTTTTTACTCTTTACTTGTGTCATCTCCTCGACTACTACTTTGCACTTTTACTTGAGTATTATAATTTTGAAGTAACATTTGTGTTACTTGAGTATACATTTGGTTACTCTACCCAGCTCTGCTCTTACTTGAGTAGTAGTTGTTCCAAATATTTTTTACTCTTACTTGAGTAATTTCCTGGACCACTACTTAGCACTTTTACTCGAGTATTATCATTTTGAAGTAATCTTTCTGTTACTTGAGTAAAATCTGGCTACGGTACCCACCTTTATTTTCCTTTACTTTAGTAAATACTTTTTTACTCTTACTTGTGTCGTCTCCGCGACCACAACTTTGCCCTTTTACTTGAATATTATCATTTTGAAGTTACTATTATTTTACTTGAGTATAATTTGTCTACTTTACCTGCCTCTGCTTTTACTTGATTAGAACCTTTCCCAAATATTTTTTTTCTCCACTAATTTGTACTTTTACTCGAGTATTATCAGTTTGTGCAACTTATTGTAAGTAAAATTTGACTACTCTACCCACCTCTGTTCTTACTTGAGTAATAGTTGTCCCAAATACTTTTTTACTCTTACTTGAGTCATTTCCGGCACCACTACTTTGCACTTTTACTCAAGTATTATCATTTTGAAGTAACCTTTGTGTTACTTGAATACATCTTTTGGCTACTCTACCTGCTTCTTCGTATTAGTTTTATAATATTTTTCTTACAAGGAAGCGTAGTTGATATGAGGCAGTACACTTTCTGTCAACAGTCGCTTTGCATTCGTCTATTTTCACACCCACGTCTGTAACCTGGAATGTTTTATTGTTTAACTCAAGCTCCCCATTTTCTTTGTTTCCTTTTAAACATTTATTCTTCGGGGCTGAGGTGGAGGAGGAGGAGGAAGAGGAGGGGGAGGTGGTGGAGGAGGAGGCTGCTGGCGGCGACTTTGGTGTTTAGTAGACCGGTGTACTTTTGCCAAGAAATGAGTTCATGTACCGCTGCTTTCCCCCTAAGGAGAAGTGATAAGGTTTCGGATAGAGGCCTGGCTCGCCACTTGAAAAGACATAAATGAGACAGATGAAGAAAGACGTTAACAAAAAGGAGGGTGGGTCCATCATCCGAGACGAGAAACAAATCTTATGAATAGCTGCTGCATTGTCTCATCGATAGTTGTTCCTGGTTATAAACTCATTTTGGTAATTGCTATTTTAAATTGTTCCTTGTGATTCTGAAATTGCTAAACTACTAAAATGAACATGAACCTGAAGCCCTCACAGAAGCAAAGATCTCTACTAGGGCTGGGTATCATTAAGAAGTTGCTGATACGATACATACCTCGATACACAGGCCACGATACGATTCACATCTTGATTCGATATGATATATTTGAAACAGATTCGATACGGTTCAATAAAAATAAACACTAAATCATGGCTGTGACACTAAAAGTCTTTGTTTAACCACTTCTTGTGCAAAGTGAATATGTGTGAATATGTCAAATGTGTTTCCTTCCTCTAAACAAACAACAAAACTGTAGCTCTGTAACAAAATAATTTAGCAAAATACACCAAAAAATACTGTTGGCGACATATCGATACAGCAGACCACGATATCGATACTGTACCATCACATTAAACGATACTGTGATGTGCCACGGGGGTCTAGGGGATGGTACGGTAACTGGAAAAAAGATGTTAAAAGAAACCGGGCGTGGAACAAAAACTGGTAGCGTGGTGAGGTGTCCAAAAGAAATCATATTTATTACAAAAAGTATTAAAAAAGTGTACAGCAATCAGATAAATTTAAATAACACACACAGCTCCAGGCTTATATATTCAGGCCAAAACAAGACAACTAGGACATTGTTCGTCACAGATACGATATATCGATATTCCAATATTTTTGCACACCTCTAATCTCTACTAAGAGCTCGCAATACTTAAAACATAGAACCTCAACAAAGAAGGTGCACTATATGACTTCTCTGTTGGAGAGTGTGAGCTTGTCTCCATGGAGATTTGTTACTGCTTTGCCTGGAATGTTCCGCAGTATGACATCAAACTTTATAAACAATCTGTCTAGCATTTCATGAACTGTGGATGTTCGTATTGCTCAAAAATACCTTCAAAATAGACTTCGGGGACTCGCGGGACCCAACGCGAAACAGTGCGGGAGCAGAATGATAAACTGCAGTCTTGCAAACTAAATATGAGTGTAAAGTAAAATATATAAATGATATAAATGATAAGTAATGTTTGCCTGTCATACATAATTTGTGCTGGATATTTTATTTGGCATTAATAAAAACATTTTAAACAGCCTAAACTTGCGGATGTGGTCTAATCTTGTGCACGTTTTAGACAATTCCGTTTGATAGAGCTTAAGAAATCGAACATCCCCATCTTGCAGAATTTGCAGGCAGGAGCGGGACAAAATATCGCAGATGTGGGCGGGACTGAACTTTACAATTCTTTGCGGGAGGGAGCGGGAGCGGGACTGAAAATTCTGTCCCGTGCAGACCTCTATATCAAAAACTTGTATTCTTTTTGAACGGGGTTGCCTTCAAAAGAAACAGAAAACGCACACCAAAATTCTTGTAGAGGTGCAAAAATGCGAGGAGCAGCAAGACAAAAGTCCAAAGCCGTGGTCCAAAGCAAGAAAAACATCTGATGAAGGCTTTTTTTTTTTTTTTTTTTGCTGAAACGTTACATTTGAAAATAAAAAAGCTTTTGGACATCGGCCATCTGAGTGTACTGTGCATTTTTTCGCTTTTGAGTGGGATTGCCTTACCATAGATCTGACCACTAACTTAATCCATGTAATGCCGTACAGTGGAATATTCTAGAGGCAAAGCAGTAACATCTCCATGGAGACAAATACCTTTTATTATGGAATGCAGTTATCCATTCAATGACAATCGCTTATACTGTATCTCACAAACTTTTTATTTAGTGACCTGGATGTTTTGTTTTCAGACAGTTTATTAATTTATACAAATGTTACTGCAGTATGGAATTTATTATTTTATACTTTAACTCTTTTGAATCCGTCACGTTGCTATGGCGATGGACTCAAACATGGCGGCTCTGCGAAAACCCATAAAGCATAAAGATGTTCCCGTCTTTTGGAAGCAGCTCATCTGTGGAAAATGACTGCGCCCTCTAAAAATAAAACTCTAAAGGGTTTTCATAAGAGGAAAGGAAAATGCCTACAGCTTGATCATAGGTTCTATTAAATGTGTGGTCTTATAATTTTTAGGTTTTATTGGTTGACAACATTTCGCCCGCTTTGAAGTTCACTGGTACTGGCTCACATCCTGCGACTTATTAGACTGAATTCCATGCTGTATTGCACTGTAAAAGCATTAGGTAATTGCAGTTTTCACTTCCATTGGTGTGGTCAAACTCCTTTACATGTGTTGACCTTTTTTGTTCTGTGTATTTTGCCGACAAAAAAGTCATTGAACTGTACTTAATGACAGCTCTTTACAGTCTCCTTGCCAGTACTAATGTTTTCAGAGGCCAGTTTGATCCATATTTTGCGCGATGGTTTCTCATAACTTTCCTTAACATAACATTTAACAACTAGAAGTAATTAAGTATGTGATTTTGTGTGTTTTGCAGCCTCCAAATCACGGTCCACCACCTCTACCGAGTTCCTCACTACCCGAAGGATACTATGAAGAAGCTGTCCCTCTGAGTCCTGGAAAGGCACCTGAATATATCACATCCAGTAAGTACTAATATTGCTCGAACTGCTGTCATTTGCTTCGCTTTTCAATACATGTATCCCGGATTTTGGACTTCCGGTCATCGCGCAATACATACTGGGAAGAATCCTCTGAAAAAGTGAGCATCAAATCACCATGTTTGAATTCCCAGTGGGATGTGTCTATTATCAAAGTATTTTGAACCATATCACTTTTGTTTCTGGTTCTGATATTGTCATATTTTAGTTTTGGGATTCAGACATTGTAATTGTGTGGTTGTTGGATGTTCTAACAGCGGAAAACAGCTCGAGAAATGGGCTTCGGAAGTTTGTGAACTTCATAACTACAAAAGGGAATCAGATGTGTGTGATTGCAAACCTCCGTACAAAGTATTTCCCTTCCCAACGGAATTGAAAAATAGTGAAAGGCGAAGACGATGAGCAGGATTGATCCACAGGAAGGACCAAAAAGGAAACCTTTGGCTGCCTAAGAAATCATCCAGAGTTTGCAGCAAACATTTTATATGTGGCGCGCCAACAAAGCAAAATCCCGATCCCTCACTCAACCTTGGTTATGAATTTAAAATGTGAATGCCAAACAGAAAGGCACCAGCAGTTCACCAAGAAACACCTTCCACTGCAAAGTGACCAAGACTTAATGTTGCTGTAAAGTCACAAGAACAAGAAAGTGCGAGCTCAGTCTGTTTGTCTTCTGCACCTCTCACTTAACAAACAGGATTTTGCTTTGTTGCCGCTCCACATACAAAATGTTCACTGCAAACTTGCCCATTGCCTTCACTTTCACTATTTTTCAGTTCCATGGAGTTTGCAAACTTCCGAAGCCCGTTTTCCGCTGTTAAGACATCCAACATTCACACAATTACGATGTTCGAATCCCTTAACTAAAATATGACAATTTCAGAACCAGAAACAAAAGTGATATGGGTCAAAAGACTTGTTCAAAAAGTTTGGCTTTGACAAAAGACACATCCCATGGCGATTTGATTCTCACTTTTTCTGAGGATCCTTCCTAGTATGCATTGCACGATGACTGGAAGTCCGAAATTTGGGATGCATGTATGGGCCTGTGCTTGAGAGTAATTACTTTTGGTTAATGTAACTGCCGCTTTATATATTATAAAGTGTAATGTACATCATTGAGAAATAACTGAAAGACAAGGTCCTATATTACACAAAATAAATATTTGTGAGCTTTAAGCCATGTTATAAAGCTGTTACTTCCTCAAAAACATATTTGGATTTGTTTTATTTCATTCACAAAACACAATTTCAGGTATCAGATGAAGAAAAGAGCTTTACTAGATCATAAAAAAGTCAAAAATAGCTGTACAAGTGCTCTACGAGGGTTAAATTTATAATCTTAACAGAATGTTACCCTTACTTAAAAATGTAAACGTGGCCATGGTACAAACCCAAGACTCTCCGACTGATTATATTAAAAGTCCTTTCTTACATGGAGGGACGCCAACACATTTCAACCAGAAAGATGGTCTTCGTCAGGGCATAATCAAGTCCAGTTATGTTTCTGATGAGGAATATGGGCCCTTTAACCATTTTTGTGTATTGTCTAATAGAGACGTACAGTTTTCGCTTAATTCATAGAAAATCAAAAGCCTGGCATTACCCCAAATTATTCACTGTAATATTGCATAATCAAGAGAAAGAAATACACTTATTGCTGGTGAAACAACTGCGTGAGTCTGTCCTAGAGCCAGACAGTTGTTTCTCTGTTGTGGTGGAATAACAGAGCAGCAGACGGGACTGAGTAGGCGAGGTTAACACTTCATTTAACAAAACGTTTTCACAATCCGGTACTGGACCTTTATATATTCAGCAATAACAATTCTAATGCCACTTTTATCCTTTGTGTTATAGATTACGACTCAGACGCCATGAGCAGTTCTTACGAGTCTTACGATGAAGAAGAGGAAGATGGAAAGGGCCAGAAGATGCATCACCAGTGGCCTTCAGAGGAGGCGTCCATGCACCTGGTGAAAGACGCCAGAATATGTGCCTTCCTGTTACGCAAGAAACGCTTTGGACAGTGGGCCAAACTCCTCTGTGTTATTAAAGATAATAAACTTCTGGTGAGTGTCCAAATAGCATCTAAGTTATGATGTTGTTTCCTCATCAAAAAACAGGAGTTGTTTTGTTTCATTTACAGACTGTTTGACACACACATCCTGCATAATTAGGCCGAGTTCGTCTCTCAAAAAGAAAAACACTCCACCTTGTCATGTCGTGTGGTGATACAGGAAGTGCTCAACTCTGTTTTGAAACTCAACTACTTCACGAGATTTATTTGGATTATTTCAGACCTGGAATTCCCAGTCTCTACTGAACTAAAGTAAAAGGAGCTGTTAACTTGAAAACTACCAAATCCATGTATCATTCGTTCATTCGTTTTTCAATATAAAACTGAAAATAAGAAAACGAGAAAACAACAATTTTCTTCATTATTTGTCTCCAAACCAAAATGAAAAAAACAGATAACGCTTTGTTTTTTCAGTTTTCGTGACTTAAACTGTGATGCCGGACTGAACCAGGACTAAACCAGGACTAAACTTGGACTAAACTGTTTTCAGTCCTGGTCAATCTGGTCCCACTCTCAGTCCCAGTCTGGTCCTGGTCTCAGTCCCAGTCCTGTTCCCGGTCTAAGTCCTGGTCTCAGTCCTGGTCTCAGTCCTGGTCTCAGTCCTGGTCTGGTCCCTGGTCTCAGTACTGGTCTCAATCCTGGTCTGGTCCTGGTCTGGTCCTGGACCTGTTTTAGTCCTGGTTCAGTCCTGGGATCAGTCCTGGGATCAGTCCTGGTTCAGTCCTGGTTCAGTCCTGGTTCAGACCTGGTTCAGTCCAGGTTCAGGTTCAGTCCTGGTTCAGACCTGGTTCAGACCTGGTTCAGACCTGGTTCAGTCCTGGTTCAGACCTGGTTCAGTCCTGGTTCAGTCCTGGGATCAGTCCTGGTTAGACCTGGTTCAGACCTGGTTCAGTCCTGGTTCAGTCCTGGTTCAGTCTTGGTTCAGTCTGTATGCGGAGCAAAAGTCCAGGTTTGCAGTTTAAGCCACGGAAACAGGAAACGGCCGTTATCCACCGTTTTATCTACCGTTTTTTTCCATTATTCATTTAAACACAAAATTAAAAACTGAAAAAACAGATCATTATCTGTTTTTTTTTCATTTTGGTTTTGGGGACCAATAATAATTTTCATTTTCTTATTTTTTGGTTTTATTTTGAAAAAACAATGAATGAATAAAACACGGATTCTACCATTACATGACATCACAAGGGTGAACACACATTTTGGGCTTTAGAGATGCAGACAGACCAAATCCTTGTTTTTGAGGAGGGTCTAAAGCTCACAAGACTGAATTCTGTGTAATATAAGACCTTTAATGTATTTGCTTTTTTTCCTATTCTCAGTGTTACAAGTCATCTAAGGACCACGCCCCGCAGATGGAGCTAACATTGTCCGGCTGCAGCATCACTCACATTCCCAAAGACGGAAAAAAGAAGAAGCATGAACTTAAGATTGTCCACCAGGGGGCAGATGCGCTGGTGCTGGCTGTCCAGAGTAAAGAACAGGCTGAAGAGTGGCTTAAGGTATGTAGCACTTCCATAAATTGTAATAATTTTTTAGACTATAAGGCGCACCGGATTATAAGGCGTATTAAGCGAAACAAACGGACGACACTTGTGACTTGAGACTTTTTTATTTCCTACGAGAAGGACTCAAATATATATGGAGTAATAAAGTGTTTAATGCAGCTTTGCGCACATTTGTTTACGTTTTACAGAGACAAAATTTAAAACCACATGGCTAATTTGCATAAACTATCAGCGATTAAAAAAAAACAACAACTCTCTCCTTGTCAATTTCTGTCGGACTAAAGGATCTGAAAATCGGTTCGAGGTCAGAAAGCACAACCAGAATTAATACATAAGGTGCACTGTTATTAAAATTAAGGGATTTTAAGTGCGCCTTATAGTTCGAAAAATACAGTAATAATTGTTCTGTCGTCCTGGTAAAACAGGGCCAAAATGATCCTCAGACACGTTGTTCTTATAGTGCTTATAGACTATGGTGTCCCTCAGGGTGCGGGCTTAGGTTCTTGACTTTTCTTACTTCTGCAACTTCTACAGTATCTTGGGTCTTTCTTTTTTATTTATATGTTTTAACTGTATTCCGCCTTTTTCTTCACATACAGAAGTAATTTTTTAAGTTCTTCAAAACAAGTAAGGTTCAGTACATGTCCCCGATGTAAACCCTGGTTAATTCGTTGTACATGCACCTACCAAAACCTCTCTTGCGAGGTCACCTTAGGCCATAGCGAACCTCTGGGCTTTCTATAATTGTAAAAGCAAACCACTGTTGCACGCAGCTGATTCAATCAAGAAAACTCAACCGCAACATTCAACATCTGCGGAACACATACTTCAGTCTGGGCCCAAGTTCACGCGGTCCCTCTGGAGGTTTTGATCGAGATATTTTTGAATTGTATGTAAGTATTCAGGTATTTGTATGACTAAGAATAGCTTTTGTAGTTTTGATAGGCAGCTTCCTGTTACATAACGCGTGGTCCTGCTGGTTTGGGTCTGATGTAAGGATGTTTAGATGAAGTTCTTCCTCTCCTTTCGTGCCCACACCTTGTTTTACCCTCTGATCTCGTCCTACAGTCTCTCAGAAGTTCTTCTAAACAGTTCCGCCTTTTAGACATCAATTATAATCAAGTTTGGAGTTTGAACCCCGTTTCTTGTTTATGCAATGTGACGGACTTTTTATGAGTCTAAAAGTAGTCCTACCTCCTTCCCGTTCACCTCTGCTCTCCTCTGGGAATATTTTGGAATTCTTGGCTCTCGATAGACAATTGTGTGCTATTTTGAATTTCGGTTTGGGCAAAGGTATTTTCCTAATAGTTGGTTCCTGTTTTCCTCCGACAGTCAAATGGTCCTCTGAAGCACTTTCACTAACTGGATTTTCGACTTTTAGGCGCCCCTTAAGAGTAAAATATTACCGCCAACTTTATGTTCCAGATAAAATTGTAAAACTGCAACAGCAATGCCCTTTATTCAGTCCCCAAATAACTGTTTATAACGGTGTTCTCTCATGTTGGCTGACGTCCTCCCCTTTAATTTGAGTCTTTACTGCAGCTGAAAACTCCAAACGTCAAATGTAGAGGGCAAAGGATAAAGTGTACCTTAGCTTACCTTTACACATCTGAAGTAATACAAGGTTTGGTCTTCCAGAACTCATCTCAAAAAAAGTTCTTCCCCCAATGTCATCTTGATTCAATTCCCCACCTGTTAATCAGTAATTGTTTATCATTTAACTGGGGCAAGAAAAGTGCATGTATCCACAAGCAATCTCTCAAAGTAAACTGTAGCTAAACTTTTTAAACAAAAATTGCCTATTTATTGCCTTGTGAAAGTGATTCGTTATTGTAAGCGTACTCTGTTCCTTTTCATAATCCAGCTCACTTTGTGCAATCTTCAACCTCAGCCCTCAAAACTTATATTGTCATAAATCTTTCATGACGGCATTTATGTTACAAGGTTTAGGGACAAAAATACACTCCATTCAAAGAACTGAAATACACTGTAGTACAAGTACATTTACAGTAAGTAAAGTTGCGTCCAAGTACTTCATAACTGCAGCATCCTGGACAGTGATCTCTAGAGAGGGCTCTGTTACAGTAATGCTTTTCACAGACTGCCAGCTAACGATGTGTTTATGTAACACACATTTCAACACTGACCTCTGACCCCATCCCTCTAAAGCCACCTACTTTAACCAGGCTACTACTTTAAATTTATACTATTGTACACTTACTTTATTCAAATATTCAGTTCTGACCATTCTGGCTGTGTTCCCACGTGCACTGAAACATGACCAGTATCAGATTTCCAGTGTCAGATTACTGAAGTTTAACAGCAGGAGTGTAAAGATATCCAAGTCTCACAATATCGTCATGGTACGATATTTATTGCGATATCGTGGGAAAGCTCACGATATGATGAGGAGGTTTAGCCAGGCGGGCGCCACCTAGTGCCTCTGCTTAATTTTATTTCTCTCCAGCGACTTGGTCAGGAATCGGAATACACTTGACGGTTCTCAAAAACCCAGGAAGTGCAAGTCCGGGCACCAGCCAATCAGCAAAGAGTCATACATTCTGTGTTGGCAACGATTCCCGAGGTCGAGGATTTAAAGCAAGAACAAAGAGAATGTTTGGTGAATTTTATCAAGGGGAAAGATGTTATTGCCCTTCTTCCTACGGGATCTGGGAAAAGCTTAATGTTCCAGTTAACCCTGTTAGCGGCACATTACATACGTCACGACCAAATAGCAGCGATTGGTTAAATTAAAAAAAGTGCCCGCCTACTGTCAAGCGAACGAATCCTGATGCTGTGAGGTCAGACGGTTTCCACAAAGTGAAACCGTCTGATGAATCAGGCTAGGGGAGGCTCACGATTAAGGATGTAACAATATCCAAATCTCTCTATACAATATTTTCACGGTATGATATTTATTGCGATATTTTTTGGAGACTAACAAAACTGTAAATATGCTACTTTTTTTCTCTTAAAATGCCTTGATAAGACTTAATCCAAAGAACTAAGACTTAAAAGTGCTTAGAACTGTTATTTCTTCTTGTAGTCTACACTGACATGGGGCAAAGCATCATGGTCTATGTAGTTCCCTTTGTCTTTTTTTAGCTATTACTGCACCATAACTCTTAATTTAAGCAAAGAGACGTGTAATTCGATATATTGTGATGGTCCACGATATTATTCTGAGAACTTTGACGATACGATCTCACGATATTTTGGTTATTGTTACATTCTTAGTTAACAGTTCATCTGATCTGAGGCAAAATATAGGGCAAAAAAGAAAAATCTGATTATCAAGTTATCTGATTATTCTAGATTTTTCTTGGCCATGCAAACGAACCCAGCGTATCCTCAACAGACCTTTTCACATTCTTTACATTTCTGCATTGCTCACCGTTTGCATTTGTGGATAAATATGACTATAAATACATATTGTGGTGGGCATTTAAACTATGCATGCAGAAGTGCCTCTGAGTTCGAATGTTTCTTTTTAGAACCCAAAGCCACCAATCTTCATAAACAGATTTTATCAACACAGATGGCAGTACACGCCGAACTATGTGTGGAACTCGAATATCTTTTCATCTCGTTCTCTTTGATATGGTTATGGCGCTGTGCATTTAGCCACTTCGATGTCCTTAAATTAACATACCAACTATAATGTTTTTGTTTGTATTAAAAGTTGTGCTTCAGTCTTAACGCTGATTTGGTTTGACATGTGGGGAGACTTATAGGTTTGCAAGAGTGACCGCCCACCGCTTGGTTCCCCGAAGTAAATTTACCGTTCATTTTTCCCATAAACAAAAAATAAGGTTTTGTTTATTGCCGGGGGATAATCAGTTACGTGGAAACTAATGACCACAAGACCATCACTTTATTTAAAATCTATTTCTGAAACTTTGTAAACCGCCATTTTTTTGTTTTGTTTTGTTTTAAATGTGTGTTTGGCGTGAAAACAACCAAAGGCCTCCATTACACATTTCGGCTGCCATCTGCTTGTTTCCATGCTGATGTAATTGCGTTGCCTTTAGGGCTGGGTATCATTAAGAAGTTGTCGATATGATACATATCTCGATACAGTGCACTTTCAATTTGATACGATATATTTCAAATGGATTGGATGCGGTTCAATAAAAATGAAGGTTCAATCATGGCTGTGATACTAAAAGTCTTTGTTAAACCATTTCTTGTGCAAAGTTCACATGAAACGCAAACATTTTAATCATCAATACAGTGAAAATGTCAAATGTGTCGCATAAACGAGTTTCCTTCCGCTGAACAAACAACAAAACTTTAGCGCTGTAACAAAATAATTTCGTAAAATATACCAAAAAAAATACTCTTGGCGATATATCGATAAAGCAGCCCAAGATATCGATACTGTATCATCACATCAAATGATATGATATATATATCTATATTTGATATTTTTGCACAACCCTAGTTACCTTGAACGTTCCACACTATGGCATTTTTACACTTAGATTTTGAATTTGATTAAACTAGCTGATTCCTGAGGAAACACAACAAAGAAAGATTTTTTGTCAGATTTAAAGATGCATTTTGTAACTTTTCTGGTGGAGGGTCCGTAACTTAGTTGTTGTTCCTTTGTCTGGCATGTTTTATGGTATGGTATTAAACCTTTCTCTCTTCATGGAGACCAAACCAGACCAAGTTAAGCCCAATTTATGTTTGTGCATTGCAACACAGACTCTTTGCGTCGTCTTGAACTCCCTCCACGGAGCATCTTCGTCGAAATTTTGTAACTACACATTGAACCAACGCAGACAGCAAAAGAAAGCGACACAGACAGTGAGGGCTGTGATTGGTCCTCTCTACATCCACTCTACATACATTTCTGATACTCCGTTTTTTTTTTTTTTTTTGGATATTCTTACATCCCTAATCGTGAGCCTCTCCACCATATCATGAGCCTTCCCACGATATCGCAATATATCATACCGTGACGTTATCATATCGTGAGACTTGGATATCGTTACACCCCTACTCACGATACGATATCGTCACGGTATGAACCTCACAGCTCGATATTTTGTGGAGGCAAACACAACTGTTAATGTTCTACTTTTTCCTCATAAAATGCCTTGACAAGACTTAATCCAAAGAACTAAGACTTAAAAGTGCTTAAAAACTGTTATTTCTTCACATCTACACTGAAATGGAGCAAAGGATCATGGTCTATGTAGTTCTCTCTGTCTTTTTTTTAGCTATTGCTGCACCATAACTCTTAATTTAAGCAAAGAGACTTGTAATTCGATATATTGTGATGGTCTGACGAACTCTGACGATACGATATCACAATATTTTGGTTATTGTTACACTTCTACTACTTTTCTTTTAGATCAGTGTGAGATTTCTCTTTATTTTCTCTGCCTGTGTTTGAGCATAACTGATAGACATGCACTCGCTGTCTGTCTGTCCGTCCCGCTCCCCGGCCTCTCTCTCCGTCTCCCAGCCAAACCCATGGAGCCACAGCCTGTCATTCCCCCCACAAAACCCAATTATGCCTGCTCCCTGCCAATACCGCCGACGTTAGCATGCTTGTGGAGAAGGGCCGGGGAGTTTAGCATGTGAATTAGCTTACTAACGTACATCTGCCTTCTCATTTTCCCCTCGGCGCTCTGCTCTCGTCGCCAGATCTGGTGGTGGCGGCGGCGGCGGTGGCGGTGGCAGTCGGGTTGCCAGGTCTCCAGTCCAGCCGGGGTCACGGTAATGCACGGCGGCGCCCGGTCCGAGGCTCTGCAGATCTCATTCGGGGCCATCGGACACTGTTGCATAAGGATTTCACGGATGTAGTAAAACGCTTTGTGGAGCTGATGTGAGAAGCAGACAGCGTAGTGCCTGCAGTTACTCTTAGCCCCAAGTGGTAAATGTGAAGTATATGTCTGAACTTGAGCTACTTGGAAAGAGGATGCATAATATCACAGAAGGGTGCCGCGTGTTTTCCCATGTAGTTTTGAGAAGTACTTGAAATTTGGATATTTAAAACTATAATTTTCCGCTCCATTGACTCTACTTCAAGTATGGTACATTAAGATCGAATATTAGACCAATTTAGCACAACTCTTCCATAATGCTTTTCGAACCTAAAATAGTCGTTTATGATCTTAAATTAGAGGATTTTTTTACACAATTTTGCCTCATAATAGATTAAAATTTATTTACATTTTTTTCTTGCAGTTTTCAAAATTATTCCTCACTTACCTTGTTCATTGTGAGAATTTCATTATGAGTGAGTTTATAAGCATTTTTCACAACTTTCAGAAGCCAGAGCGAGGTCTTGCCGTGATGGTAAAACCACAACTAGCATGCTCACGCTTAAAAATTACATTAGAGTGAACAGATTTTCACATTTCTAAACTGGGACACACCCGGGTTGGGACGTCTGGTATAAATAAAATTGTGAAAAGAGCGTGTAACATTGTGAATTTTTGTGTTAGTCATAATGTGAGAGACTTTTGTCTCTGCATTTTTTTGCTTTATGGTCATTCGCAAACACGGATTTCTGTATTTTGGCGAAACAAATTACAGTTTATGCTCCTCTTTACTGTTGGCGGAGATCAGATTAGTCAAAAATGGTGATAGTACTGTTTTAGTCCTGGTTTTGAGTTGATGTAGTCCTGGTTTAATCTTATTCCAGGTTTAGATTAGCCTGATTCATCACCCGGTTTCACTTCGTAGAAACAGTCTGACCTCGCAGCATTAGGATTCCTTTGCTCGGCGGTAGGCAGGTACTTTTTTTATTTAACCAATTGCTGCTATTTGATCGTGACGTATGTAATGCGCCAAAACATCTTTTCAGTTGATAAAATTCACCAGACATTGTCTTTGTTCCGGCTTTAAATCCTCGAATTTGGGAATCGTTGCCAACACAGAATGTCTGTCTTTGTCTACATTCATCTCGACTACTTTGTTTACTGTTGTGCTGTTCCACAAAAGGGACCCAGACAGGCGCTTGAGTTTGACGTAACGGCTTCACAGCTCTTCAGCCGGTGCGTGGTCTACAACTTCCTGGGTTCTTGCAAAACCGTCTAGTGCAGACATGTCCAAACTATGACCCGGGGGCCAAATGCGGCCCTCAGACAAATTTTTCTTGGCCCTCAGACTTCCAGGTGAATTGGCCCAAATTATCTTGCATCATTTAAAAAATATGTTTTTACTGCAAGTTTTTTGAAAATCTACCTTGATAAAGCTAATATTTAATATATCATCTGTGATTTTAAGGATCTTAGCTTGAATAAAAACTGATGGCTCATTCTAACATTCTAACACATTCTAAACATGCACACATTTCAGTTATTCACTGTACTGAGCATCAGTCTACGGCCCTTGATCGGCCCTCTGCTTCATCTGTGTTTATCTATATGGCCCTTGATGAAAAAAGTTTGGACACCCCTGGTCTAGTGTATTCTGATTCCTGACCTAGTCACTGGAGAGAAATGAAATTGAGTGGAGGCACTAGCTGGTGCCAGCCTGGCTAGGTTTAGACTTGGTTTAGATCAAATAGGGACACCTGGGACATTTCTTGTATAAAACTGGGACACATCACTGGTTTTGTTTAAATCTGTGGGGACAGGGGACACAGGGATCAAAACTGGGACTCTCCCGGGTAAATAGGGACGTCTGGTCACCCATAATTAGATGCAGACAACACACTCCGAAAATATTTTAAAACATTTTTCCCTCTTGACAAGCCCCATTAAAATGTATTTATGGAATCTTTCTCATTCTATTCTTATTTCCTTATTTCACATTTATCCTACCTTTACATACTGTACATTCTAGCTTTCAATACTAGGTTGATACTTGTTATTTCTCTTTTACAAATGTTGATTAATTTTTTTTAATTTTTATTTTCCAGGTGATGAGGGAGGTTTGTGCCAATGGTCATGTGGAAGTGGACCCCACCCGATCAGCATCTCCTATTTTTAAACCAGAGTTAGAAAAGGTAACTAACAGTGTCCTACAACACTATATAATGTTTTCTACTGACACAAAATTAAATTACACAAAAAATATCTCAATTACAATAGCTGAAATGGATGATAACAGTACTATTTTGTTAAATAATGTTGAATCTGATAGGAAAATGTGTTCAATGCCAAGTGTTTTTGCACTGTGGGTGGAAGTTCTGGTGTTTATGACATAGATAGATGTCTGTTTTAGAACTCAGTGCTACTTCCAGTATTTTTGTACTTTTCTTCTCAACGTTTTTCCGATAAACCTCCACTTAACTGATGTAAAGCTATGATAATTATTTACCACAGATACTACCTCCACAAAACCAAATAATAATTAGAAAAACATAACAATCATACATGCTTTGACCCTGCAGTGTAGTAGTGTAGTCTTCAATAAAATCTAAATCTAAACCCACTATTCATTTTTGGATAAATATTATCGTATTTTTCGGACTATAAGGCGCACTGGATTATAAGGCGCATTAAACGAAACAAAACAGTCAGATAAGTTAGACTTTATTCAACTCATTCACAATAACTCTCAACATTGTTCATTTATAACACATAAAATACAAAACAAAACACTTTTTCAGCTTATTCTTCTTCCATAAATCCATCAAATTCTTCAACTTCAGTGTCTGAGTTTAACAGTTGGGCGATTTCGACATGAAGCCCAGATCCCTTTCGTCATTATCCGGGTCAGTCTCGTAGCTGTGACTTTGCTGTTCAGTGATGATTCCGGCCTTTGTGAAAGTTCAGACGACACTTCAGACTGATCCCTTAGTCCAGGTGTCCGCAATCTTTTGGCAGATTGTGGCGTAATTCACCTGGCGTTGCCTCCCTGTCTTGGTGAATGTGTATTACTCCGTGAGGCTCCGGACTACGGTAGTTGTAATGCTCAGACAATCCATCAAGCGGTGCGGCTTCGTAGCTTATCAAAGTCGTACTAAAACATTTTGACGAATGTTTGAGCGCCGTGTACCACATAAAATCCGTCTGAGGTCAGTAAGCACAACCAGAATTAATACATGAGGCACACCGGATTATAAGTCACTGTCAATTTTTGAGAAAATTAAAGGATTTTAAGTGCGCCTCATAGGCTTTGTTCACACTGCAGCCTGAAGTGACCCAAATCCGATTTTTTAGGCCCCTATGTGACCTGTATCTGATCTTTTAATGACAGTCTGAACGACACAGATCAGATATTTTCAAATGTGACCCAGGCCACTTCGATATGTGCTCCTAAAACCGATACATATCCAATCTTTTGACATGCGACTTCAGTCTGAACGACCAAGGCGCATTCATCCAACCTACACGTTATCAACAAGAGACAAATGTACACAAACGTTCTTCTCGTCAGACGAAAACTCTGCCCCACAAAATGCCTTCTCCTTCTTAATCTCCTCCTTAAAACAAGTAAGTTGTACATGTTCTGGCTCCGGTACGAGAGGAACTTTAAATACGCCAGGTGGTCAACGCTTGCAGTTGACGTCATCGTGTCCTCCAGTGCGCATGTGGGACACTTTTGGGGCGTTTAATGTTCACACTGGAGACCACACACAAGTCGCATTTAATTAGAAACGTGAACGACCTCGCAAAAACATCGGATTTCACCCAAAAAAATCCGAATTGAGCATTAAGCCCTGCAGTCTGAACGCAGCCATAGTCCGAAAAATACGGTACTAGTTCTAATAGACATGTGCGACGTGATGAAGTGTTTTGCCTAAGAACACAATGACAAATGAGTTCTTTTTACCACTGGCTCCCCGCTGTGGCTCCTCGCATTCCCAGCGGTCTCCTATCCGAGCTTTAACCAGCCCCGGCTCTGCTTAGCTCCTGAGATCTGACGAGAAGAGGCTTTGACAAGGACAGCTTTATGTACAAAAACAGTATACCTGAGTTTCATGGACATTTTTCTGCATATGCACGGGGCTCGTAAAATTTTTCCAAATAAACCATAACTCCATACGGCCCATGAGGGAGCGCAGTATATTATAGGCTTTCATTAGCAGAATACACTGGAGCCTAGCTAGACTTTAACATTCTGTGCTGTCGGCTGGAAAATGAGCTACATCTGAACACTTTAACGCGCCGGGCCACTCCCCTCTTGGCAACGTAAACAAACCCAGGCTCTTAGTATTTGCCCGTAACATGTTGCAGATGCCCCTTTAATGCCTTTTACTGTTGGTACGTGGTGCTGCTTTCTTACCGTTGTTTTTTTGTGTCGTTGTAGAAGACTTCGTGCGATAGGCCGAGCTCGGACGGGGAGGCTCCTCATGAGAACGGAGTCAGTGAATGCAAAGATCAAGGTGGGTACCAGAAAGGATTTTAATACATTGCATAAGTATTTCCATTTTTTTTTTTTTGCATAAGATCTGGTGAGACAAGAGTGGAAGGTCTCAGAAAATCCACTTTAGACCAAATTTTATGGACTGCAATCAAAGTAATCAGTATTCAAAGACAGTTAGTTTTATCTTTGTGGCTTTTAAATCTTTGTGATTAAAGGTACACGGTGTAACCTTTTCTGTTCTGCTTGTCTCCTGTGTTGATGTTATTGCTTCTTAGGTCCCTGTATCATTCGTTCTTTTGAATTTCAATTAAGAACGAAAAACAATAAAATGGGAAAACAGTTTGTTATTTCATTATTCCGTTTTAGTGTCGAACAAAAATACGATTTTGACTTCTATTTAAAAAATGTTAAATTTTAAAGATTATTTCAAATATCACCAACCAAAAAAAACAACAACAAAAAAAGTCATCGTGCCTATTTAAATTTTGATATTTTGATATTTTATTCTCTTCTAGCAGCGTAAAGTCCTGGGCATATAAACTAGAGAGAATAAAATATCAAAATTGAAATAGGCACCAAGACTGTTTTCTGTTTTTTGATTGGTGTTGGTTTGAAATAAACTTTAAATTAAATATTGGAAATAGCTGTTGAAATCAGTTTTGTTTTTTTGTTTTTATACTCTAAAGCAGAATAATGAAATGAATAAATACATTGTGTAACTAAAAAATAATAATTTCAATAATAGTGATTTCAATATTGACCAAAAATAATTGGGATAAGTGATTTTTTTTCCATAATCAAACAGCCCTTGTCATGACATAAACATGGGGTATTATGCAAAACCAATTTTTTTTAGCTTTTCGTTATAACATTAAGAACATGTCTGAGGTTTTAGACGTCATCCGTGCACGTTTGAGTATTTTGAGTGAGCGACTTATTTCAGAGAGCAAAGGGAGGGAGGAATCGGAGCATCAAAAAACAAAAATGAAACTTATAAAACATGTTGATTTCGACGGATATAGTATTTCCAAAACATTAAAAGGTACATGGTGATCTTAATGTCATGTGTTCACAGTTAATAATACAGTGTTCCCTCGTTTATTGCGGGGGTTATGTTCTAAAAATAACTCGCAATAGGTGAAATCCGCGAAGTAGTCAGCTTTATATTTTACAATTATTATATCTGTTTTAAGGCTGTAAAACGCCTCACCACACACTTTATACACTTTTCTCAGACAGGACAGACACAACCCTTTTTGCATCCTTTTTAAAACTTATTGCTGCTGTCGTCCTTATGTTATTTTTCTCCATCTTTATGTAATGAACCAAAGAGTCATTTATTCTGTAATGGAGTTCTACAGCGCAGAGTCCTGCATGGGAGAATTTTTGGAGACCCACACCCGTGCCGTACAACACCGCACCCGCCCGTTAACCCGCGATTATATCAAAGTTAAATCCACACCCACGGGGACCTATTAATTCCACCTGTTACCCGCCTGTGCCCGTGATAAATCGGGGTCAGGACATTAGTTTGAAAGCCCAATATACACGCTGCACCGTCAGAGCCGATCGCCAGGACTACACCAGGATTTAACCAGGATTTAACCAGGTCTAAACCAGGACTGAACCAGGACTGAACCAGGGCTAAACCAGGACGAAACCAGGACGAAACCAGGACTGAAACAGGACTAAAACAGGACTAAAACAGGACTAAACCAGGTCTAAACCAGGACTGAACCAGGACTAAACCAGGGCTAAACCAGGACGAAACCAGGACTGAAACAGGACTAAAACAGGACTAAACCAGAACTGAACCAGGACTCACGATCAGGACAGGCTCGGAGGTGACCGCAGGAGAAAGGACCGACGCAGAGCTCCGCACCTCACGGTAAGTGCGGCAATTGCCCGATCGCGCTGCACTTCAGAATCACACTGCTAGAGATCCAACATTTACCGTATTTTCCGGGCTATTAGGCGATCTGGATCATTAAATTGTCTATTTGCACACTTTTTTCACAAATAAACCGCACCGGACTTTAAACGAAACACAACAGTTGGATAGGTTGGTCGGACTTTGTTTGGCGCGTTCACGGTGACTCTGGGCTTTGTGCCGCTGGATTGTCGGCGTGTTCGTAGTGACTCAGTTGTTCAGTCGTGTCTAGAAGCGGCACATTGGACTCTCTTTTTCGGTTCGTTCCTCCGTTCCGTTCCTCGTCGGCGTGGAGTGAGGAGTGTGTCTGCGGGTGTTTTTCGCTGTGCGGTCGCTGTCTGCTCCGTGTGTGTTTGCGTGTTCTGCGGATGGTGTGGCTTTGTAGTTTACTGAAGTTGTGCTGGGACACCTGAGTGGATTTGTGTATATGGCGTTCTGGCTTGTGGGGCGCGCAGTCGTTTTTTGATGGGGTTAGAGGCTTAAGAGAGCGTCTAATAGCCCGGAAAATACGGTATGTAAATTTGGCGAGCTGAATGCATTCTGTACTGTACCGGAGACACGGCACAGAGGACAATGGTTTACAATCCCTTAGCCAATCAGGACGCAGCGGGAGGAACACAATACGTGCTCATACGCTGTAAAAAAAAAAAAGCATGCAAAATTGGGCTAAAAGAGGTGAACCGCGATATAGCGATGGACGACTGTATCCCCCCTTTAACTTATTTACAGTTTGTCCAGCTGGCAATCGTCCTACATTTTCTTCCTCCGTTCTTCTTGGACACTCTACAAAATGTAACTTTTATTTATCTCTCCCCTTTAAAAATCATTCATTACCCCACATTATGACAGCGGATTCCAGCGCAGCAGTTAATCTGAACTCCTCTGGGTGCAGTAGAGGAGTTTGAGGCTCTGATTCATGGCCCGGGCTTGTGTAAAACCTTATGTAATCCCCCCCGAAAGAAGTGAGTGTTGATTTGTGTGCGCAGTGTCAAACAGGTTTCATCTTATCACTGCGCTTTTAAGTGAGGGAGGATACGGCTGCTAGAAAGATAAAACGCATCAATTACATGGCACAGGTGTGGACGTATGACTTCACTAAAACAACAGACGTTTCATCGCATGTGGGGGAGGGGAGCGTGTAACGGTTACGCAGCAATGATAAGACTGATTGTGAAGAATATGTTGAAATGTTTTAATTGTGAGTGGATGTGCCAATACTAGATTTGACAGCTGTTGACGCTGAGCTTTTATAGTTACCTGATGAATAAACACAAGTTACATAAACGGATTGGATCAGTTTTGTGATCAGTTGCACAAATGTCAAGAAAAAGGCCAAAGTATTGTTTTCTGGATGACAGATTCTGGATTGATTCATCTGTGATTATATCCTAAAGCAGGGGTTTTACACCACATCAAAACTGGGATTAAACTTGGACTTAACCAGGACCTAAAGCGGAACTAGACCAGAATCTTGCACCAGGCGCCCGCATATAGTTGCCAAAAGTTGGGAGAGTTTTAACGTGCTGGAATTTAACGGGCGTGTATGCGGGCGGGTAATGATTACACGGGCGGTTTGGGTGAATTAAATGATTGACGAATGGGAGAAAAATACTTACTGTTGCCCTGGAAACAAGTGTCATTTCCTGGAATGATGGCAGACCAGGCTGAAAGAGACTTTAGTGTTTTTATTACATAAAACCATCAGCGGAGGTGATCGGCTCGGCCGCTGTGCTCCTGGTTAAGTCCTGGTTCAGTCCTGGTTCAGTCCTGGTTTAGTCCTGGTTCAGTCCTGGTTCAGTCCTGGTTCAGTCCTGGTTTAGTCTTGGTTCAGTCCTGGTTCAGACCTGGTTCAGACCTGGTTCAGTCCTGGTTCAGTCCTGGTTAAGTCCTGGTTCAGACCTGGTTTAGTCCTGGTTCAGTCCTGGTTCAGTCCTGGTTCAGTCCTGGTTCAGACCTGGTTCAGTCCTGGTTCAGTCCTGGTTCAGTCCTGGTTCAGTCCTGGTTCAGTCTTGGTTCAGTCTTGGTTCAGACCTGGTTTAGTCCTGGTTCAGTCCTGGTTCAGTCCTGGTTCAGTCCTGGTTTCGACCTAGTTTCGACCTGGTTTCGACCTGGTTTCGACCTGGTTTCGACCTGGTTTCGACCTGGTTTCGTCCTGGTTTAGTCCTGGTTTAGACCTGGTTTATTCTGGGTTAAGTCCTGGTTTAGACCTGGTTTAGACCTGGTTTAGACCTGGTTTCATCCTTGTTTCATCCTTGTTTAGCCCTGGTTTAGACCTGGTTCAATTCTGGTTTAGACCTGGTTTATTCCTGGTTTAGACCTGGCTTAGTCTTGGTTTAGACCTGGTTAAATCCTGGTTAAGTCCTGGTGTAGTTCTGGCAATCGGCTCTGACTGTGAAATGCAACACTTGAAAAGTACATTTCCCAATTATTTTTACCCCATAGAATTTCAGATAAATAAATAAATGAATTAATAATTTAAAGTATAAAAGTTGTCTGATTAGCTGTGTGGTAAATAATAACCATCATATTATTTAAAATCTTTGGTTCTGAAGAGGTATAGTTAATGAAATTGTTAAACCATTTCATAATATTTAAGTTTTTGGATTGAAAATTGAAATTTACCTTTATAACCACAGCTGGCTCCGAAGTAGGAGAGTCTTAGTCTAAGTATATAGAGACCAATGTGAAAATAATGAATCCACATGTATGTATTTATTTTGGATAGCCCCTTGAGATGCATCAAGTTTTCGTTAAATGTTGCCTTCTCATTTGTGCACTTTATGCCTCGTAAAGATAGTGTGGAGGGAGTTTGACTTAAGTTAAAGGGAGGGACGCAGATATGACTTTCCTCACAAAATCCAGCCGTTTCTAAAAAGCCGGTGGTGGTTTCGCTGTGTGACCGTTCGCGTGCACGTCAGCTGTTTTTGGTGCATTCCTGGAACTAGCCTCGCATTACGGCCCCGCACTTCGCTGAGCCGCTAGTTAGCTTAATCAGGCGCATTCTTTCCACGGACGGTAACAAGGAGTCGAGTTCACCTGATCACACTTTCCTCCGCTCGGCAAAAATGGCTTCCACATCTGGGCCTGTGCTTTCCGCCGCCACTGCCGCCGCCGGTCCCTCCATTGTGTTTGGTGTCATCTGCGAGGTCGCCATGGTGACCGTCACGTTGCATCACGGGGAAAATAGAAATGTGGGGAAATGCTTAGATGAAACTGAAATTGTTTTTGAAAGACTGTAAATCTGTGGGGTGGGTGAGGGTGACATCATTGGTACTGCTGCAAAATGAGCAGAAATATGGACTTTGTCAAAAACCTCCTCCTGAAATTTAAAAATACTCAGTCCACTTTATTTCTACAGCACATTTCACAAACAGTTTCCAAAATCCTGCACAAATACAAACTAATAACAACAATAATAATATAATGATAAAATAAATGCTCAGATTTAATCGTACTAGTCTTAAAACAATAAAACCAGTACCAGTGCCTTTAAAATTATGTTTGGAAATTGTAATAAATACTGTATTTTTTGGACTATAAATCGCACCAGCCAAAAAATGTGTAATAAAGAAGAAAAAAACATATAAGTCGCACATTTTGGGGGAAATTTATTTTATAAAATCAGGGACCAGGAACCGACATTTCATCTTGAAAGTCAAGTTCTAGTAATAACAATAGAACAGAGAACAACAGACTGAATAATTGTTAATATGTTAATGTCACATATGAACAGTTCTTCATATAACTATAGTATAAACAACAGAACAAGTTTACCAAACTCTCCATCTCACTCCAAATCACTAAATCCACTGAATTCATTCAATTCTTCATCCTCGGTTTCACTTCTGAGCAACTCCACGCAACTTCGGTTGTCACTGAAGTTCAGGCTTTGTCGATTCATCCAGTGACTTCCAGGAAAGTTGCACAGTGCATCCTCCCAGTTACCATGAAGCTGTGTTCTCCATCCACGCTCTCTGCCAGTCCCTCACAAGTTTCCCACTCACTCCAAACTTTCTTTTTGCTGCAGTACAGTTTGCATATTTTACTACTTGCAGCAGGACAGTGGCTTTTTCTGCAGGAGACATGCGCAGAAAACTGATACACAAGCATAGAACCTCTCACGGCTGTCAGTCTGAAAATTTTAATATATAAGTACCGCCAAAGTATAAGTCGCAGGAAACACCCAAACCATGAAAAAAATGTCACTTATAATCCAAGAAATATGGTAGTAAATGATGGTGAAAGGAAATGATGATGGTGAAAATAATATTAGGTTACATTTACACAGAAAAGAATCAGTGTATCACCGTATCGGAAACGATTTGTATCCAGACACGACGTTTCTGTGTCCACAATCCTTCCCTATCCACACAGCTTTACGCATATTTGTTTACGTTTTACAGAAACAAAACTTCAAACCACATGGCTCATTTGCATAAACGAAGTCTTCAAAAAACAGCTCGGTATTGTGCGCTGACGTGGTTCAACTTCTGTCAGACTTAAAAAGGACACGACTCAGTGAAATATATGTGCTCTTTCTGTGATAGAGGGGTGTTTTGTTTTTCAGTGTAAATGTAACCTTGGATCATAAAATATAATTTTTTATTTTATTTTTTTTGGTCTGAAAAACATGCCCAAATGAAAACCAGAGTACACGTTTTGTATCGTTTTGTTTAGATCTGCCAAAAAAGTGTTTATCTTGACTTGAGTAAATTAAAATCAGATACAGGCCCTTTAAAAGTCCATGGTTTTGCATTAATCATTTGCATAAGGAAAACTCCATGTGTTTTGCTTTTAAAATGAGTAGTTTTGTCATTGAAATTTCTGTAACTACAAACCTGAAAACTAGAAAGAGAAAATCTGTTTGTGTGTCTTCCCCTATTTTTTGTCATATCATATTTTTGCACCCATTGACCTTTTGTTAACATCTCCAGAACCTCAAGTGGTTGCCTCAAAACCCAAAGTGGTGCTTGTACAACACTGGTCTGACCACTATTTTAAACCAGTCCAGCCTCGGGTACAAGAGACCGAGAACTTAGCTCCTCTCATGCCTCCAGATGTGCACCGTCATTCCTCTGTCTCACTGTGGAAAGAAACCAACCCACCCAATGCATGCTGGGATCAAAATAGTGGTATCACGTTATAAATAAATTACTGTTTTTAGAGAAATAACAGAAAATCAGGAATATATTGAATCTTCTTTCATTTTGTTTTGGGTTTGGTTCCTCAAATTTGCTGTTTTAAATCTTTTTGTTTAATACAGCTAATTTGATTTTGTCTTTTATTTTTTCACTGACAGAGAATTTAATTAATTAAACTTTGTGCCAGTTTTTGTTTCATGTGGACAGGCCAAGTAATTACCGTACCGGTGTAGAAGTCGCAGCAGCCAAAAAATACGTAATGAACATATATAAGTCGCACTGTTTGGGGGAAATGTATTTTATAAAATCAGAGACCAGGAACCGACATTTCATCTAAAAGTGAAGTTATAATAATAACAATAAAACAGAGAACAACAAACTGTTAACGTCACATATGAACAGTTCTTCAGATAAACTATAACATAAACAACAGAACAGAACAAGTTTACCAAACTCTCCATCTCACTCCAAATCACTAAACCCATTCAATTCTTCATCCTCGGTGTCACTTCTGAGCAATTCAACAACCTCTAGAGGTAAACTGAGCGCCGCTTCCTCTTCTGTGTCGCTGTCGTCAGACTCAGCATCAGTTCCAGTTAGAATTATTCTGCCCTTTCTGAATCCTGACAGGATGGTTTCGGTGTCACTAAAGTCCAGGCTTTGTCAGTCCATCCAGTGACTTTCAGGAAAGTTGCCTGGTGCACCCTCCTAGTGTCACAAGTTTCTCACTCACTCCAAACTTTCTTTCTGCTGCTCGATTATCTTTTTCGGCTGCATATTTCACTACAGCCCGGGGGAACTGTGACGTCCCACACAGACGCTCCACATTCGGACAACGTGTGCTCTCAGTCAGAGGCACAACATTTTGGAACAGTCTGCCACTATCAATAAGAGAAACTCCAACACTGGACACTTTCAAGTCCTACTTGAAACAGCGGCTAAAGGAAAACCAGACTTGTGGACAATTTTAGTGTATGTCTGTTACTTGTTTTTGTTTTTTCTGTTAAGTTTGTGGTGTCACCTGCCTAGGGACTACAGATGCATTCTTGCTATAATCTGTCATATTTACATTGCAATGTTGCAGATGTTCATTAATATGCACTGTCCCTATTAAATAAATAAATTAATTAAATACTTAAAGCTTGTAATCTGCAAAATGATTTTCTTTTTGGAGGCATTTGCTTTCGGTCTTCTCAATCATCTTAATAAGTTTGTTTAAATTTTAAATTTTCAGTGGTACAGAAGTAATGGTGCGATCGACTGACGTGATACAGACATGGTACAGGAGTAATGGGAGCAGCAGATACTGACACACAAGACTAGAGCCTCTCTCACGGCTTCAGTGTGAAAACTTTAATATATAAACCGCAGTGGAGTATAAGAAAACACCCAAACCATGAAAAAATACAGTACAGACATAAACCATAAACCAGGTCAAACTAAACAAACTGTATCATAGAATTCTGACTCAATTTCCAACTTTTCCATCTAAATTTTAAACTTTTGGAAATTCAGAATGCTTTAATGCCATGTGAACAGAACCTTTTCACTATCAGTGGTTTGCAGATTGTAAAATGTGATTATGTCATGCTCCCAGATGTGGAGGAAGAGCCAGATTTCTCTGTTGATTACGTTGCATTTTCCTATGAAATATCTAAAAGGAAAATGCACAAATGTTGGACACGATCGTTTGTATTTGTGACTAGACCATAGGCTGTATAAAGAAGTGGACTAAAGGAGTTCGGCTACAGGGTTTACAGGGGCGAAAGAGGAGCCAGCCAAGTATCCACCTTATTAAAAATATCTTCACTGAACTTGCGACATCTGGTTGTTGTTTTGTTTAAATAAAAAGGGCATGTATTTGAGAGGATTCTTGTCTAAGTGCCCCATGTCTGTGTCTCCAGGAAAGGGGAAGAAGAGCTCAAAGTCGGAGCAGAAGAGTGGCACCGTGGGGAAGGGCGCGGGGAAGAAGATCACCAAGATCATGGGCCTGGGCAAGAAGAAGCCCTCCACGGACGAGCAGACCTCCTCCGCCGAAGAGGACGTGCCCACATGTGGTAAGGACCGGACTGGAGTTATTCGGCATGGTTTTTAATAGCAAGTATTACAGCAGGGGTGGGCAGAGTTCAGAGAAAGCACATCTGTTCTTGAGCAAGTTAGAAAGTTGGTGAGTGAGTGAGTGTGTGAGTGATTAGTGTGTCAGAAACTCGGATTAGTGTCACGTGCAGGCCCATCACGATTATTACAATATCGATATATGAAAGATGGGACTATTTTTGGGGGGGGATCAATATTTATATTTTCTATATTGCTGTTCATCGTCTGTATATTCAGGAGCAGTATATCACACTTCAGTTTGTTATTATGACAGACCGAGCCACATGTTTGTCTGTTGTATGAGAAGTGAAGGAATAATGCAGAACAGTCTAAAGAAATGTTGAGCATCTAGAAAAGTAATAAACTCTAATGGGAGGTTTTATTGTCATTATCACTACAAATGTATTTATTATGAAAAACAATGCTGTTGGAACTGAGCGTCAAGACATTTTATACAATATGTCAATGAACACAAAAAATATTAGCAAAATGTGCACAGACTAAGTTTAATACAGCATCTGTTGAACTTAGGACAAAAAACTAAGGTTAATAATATTACTTGGATTACATCATTTTCAGTTTTAGTCAAATTAGGGTGGTGCAAAAATGACGGGCTTTTTTGTGACTGGGCTTTAGGAGAGGTTTCCCCACGTCACTCCAGTTTGACTTTCTGCTTCCTTAGATAATTGCAGGGAACTTGCATGCCGATTTTTTCAAACCTTCTCATCAGAAGACGCTCCTGTCGAGGTGTTAACGACCTGGACGTCTCGGTGAGATGGTTGCAGTTCCATCTTTCTTTAATTTTTGAACCGCTTTTGCAATGATATTCTTTCTAAAAGGCTTTGCTGATTCTTGTAGCCTTCACCTTTCTGGTGTAAAGAAGTAATTTTCGTTCTTTTGGTGCCATTGCTGACAGCAGGAAATGGGAAGGGGTTTGCTTTAAGTAACGCCCTTTTGTAGCCGACTGTCTGATGGACTAGTCTGATTCATCAGCTGGTTTCACATGTATGGCTCTTTGCTGATTGGCTGATGCCCGGACTCACACTTCCGGGGTTCTTGCAAACCGTCCGGTGTGTTCTGAATCCTGACCTAGTCACTGGAGACAAATGAAATTGAGCGGAGGCACTAGGTGACACCAACCTGGCTACTGATGAACACCTGTGTAATGAGTATTTAGACTCTCCTGTGGTTGAATGCTTGTTCAATTCCACATTTGGAGCCTAAAATGTAGCTTTGCTCTGAGACTTGCTCATTTTTGCACTACCCTAATTTGACTTAAACTGAAAATGATGTAATCTAAGTTATTTTATTAACCTTAGTTTTTGTCCTAAATTCAACAGATGCTGTATTAAAATTAGTCTGTGCACATTTTGCAAATATTTTTCATTGACATGTTGTATAAAATGTTCCTTTTCAAAGGGGGTGTACTCATTTATCCTGAGCACTGTAAGTGTAAAAAAACTATAAAAGAGAAGTTGTAGTTTGTTCAATATGTGATGGACTGTATGTGTTATCGTTTGTGGGGATGGTTGTGGAATATTTTTTGTCATTTCATGTGTTGTAGCCCACTGAACACCAAAGCCTATAATTTTACATTGTTCACTACTGAAAACACAAAACACTACTGTCAAAAAAACATTTAGTTTCCTTAAAAATAGGGTTTGTTGTTGGTTTATTTTTACTCTGAAATGACTGTACAATCTGAACACGTCAAACTGAAAATACTCATTATACACCACATATCCTGCACTCAGCCTGAACTTAAGCTGCCGTGTCCCTGCAGGTTACTTGAACGTGCTGTCCAATAACCGCTGGCGTGAGCGCTGGTGCAGACTGCGTGATAACCAGCTCCTCCTCCACAAGGACCGTGACGACCTGAAGAGCCACATCGCCTCTCTGCCGCTCCGAGGCTGTGACGTGTCCCCGGGGCTGGACCACAAGCACCCCTTCGCCTTCCGCCTGCTCCGGAACGCTCAGGAGGTGGCCGTGCTCGAGGTGCGGGAGAACGCGTCACACAAAATTAATATCGTTGACATGCAGATTTTTGTTTTAATACAGTAAATTCTATAGTCTTGTCACTAATATGTGGTCAGATTCAAGATTTATTAATTTACTTTTTGGATGTTTTATAGCAAAATGCAACGTTATCAATAGAGAAAACTAATTTCCATTGGGACAATAAAGTATTCTTTCTCTCTTTCTATCTTAAAGTGTCTCTTGCTCTCATCTGGCAGTTTGACATCTTCTAGAATCTGAAAACTACCAATGCCATTACTAAGGTGTAACGATATCCAAGTCTCACGATATGATATTGTCACAGTATGAACCTCAAGACTTGAAAGTGTTTAGAACTGTTCTTTCGTCTTGTAGTCTACACTGAGCAAAGGATCATGGTCTATGTAGTTCCCTCTGTCTTTTTTTACCTATTGCTGCACCATAACTCTTGATTTAAGCAGAGACTTGTAATTCGGTATGTTGTGATGGTCCACGATAAGGATGGGCATGATTAGTCGACTAAGAATTTCGTGGATTATGTTCATTTTTAATTGACACATGGAATGTAGGTGTCTGTGCATAGATACGAGGCTGCGTCTGACAGCGCAAACACTGGAGCTGCGGCCTCACAGTCCCAATCTGGAGATCACTACACCTCTCAATGAGTGCGTTTACATGCACATCAGTGTCCTGGTTTCGTCATGGTGTATGCAAACGCAGAATCGCGGTTACTGCAACATAAAGAGCTGCGCTAAACCTACACACGTCTGATCTCTGAAAACATGAACCATCTCCAACGCGACACACACACAGAACAGACTCTCCATCATCATCATCAACATCATCTTTCTGTCACAGAGAGAACACTCATATTCCACTGAGTTGTGTCCTTTAGTCCGACAAAAGCTGAACCACATCAGGGCACAAGAGCTGTTTTTTTTTTCTCTCCTCTTAGTTTATGCAAATTAGCCATGTGGTTTTAAGTTTAGTTTCTGTAAGACTTGTGCAAACACATTATAATCTCAAACGGTCTGATGTGGCTCTATAGTGATTATGGTTTATATGTTGTAAAGTTGAGTTTATTTATGCAGATTAGTAATGGTGATAATGATGATAATTTTAATATAAAAATGTTAATGATTATTTGAAAATTGATTGTTAATTCTCCCGACGATCGATTAAGAAAATTTCATCGAATGCCCATTCCTAATCCACGATATTATTGTGAGAACTTTGATGATACGATATTATGATATTTTGGTTATTGTTACATCCCTAGCTATTACCCATAGACATTTGCCTGTTGCTACACATTCCCCATATTAAAGGATAGAAAATGTTATTTCATGATATTCATCTCGTTTATCTGGCCTCCTCACCACTGACATGTAAAAGAGGATGTTTTGTGGTCACTAGATGCTTACCAGAAGCACATAACTTTGCAAACCCCAACTTGAAGCTCTTTTTGCTCTAATTTTACACACTAATTATGATCTAAAATAATCCTGTTGACTCCCTTGTCCCCAGGCGTCGTCCTCTGAGGAGATGGGCCGATGGTTGGGGGTGCTCCTGGCTGAGACTGGATCTACCACAGACCCCGCCACACTTCACTATGACTACATCGATGTGGAGACCACCGCCAATGTCATCCAGCTCGCCAAGCAGTCGTTCTGGTATGAAACACTGAATTTCTTTCTGGCCACCAGTATCGTTTACTAATGACAAACTAAATACACTACACTGAAGAGCTTGAAATGATACAAAGGTAAGAACTGAACAGACGGAGGTTAAATAAAAAGATAAAATAACAAAACACAAGTCCAAGCTCTGCCAAAACTACCTCAGGAAAAAAGAACAAGATGGTAAAGCTTGAAAACATGGAGTGTTCAGCACAGTGTCCAGACTCAAACCCCATCGAGCTGGTTTGGGATGAGTGCCACACATTTATGGGAACTTCTGCAACAGACTTGGGAAGAACTTTCTGAAGAATGTTTGATTTCTGTTGTAAAAAGAACGAGCCACGAGTGTGTTCAGCTGTTACATCTGCCAAAGGTGGACACTTTCATGACCAAAACTTATTGTAAACTTTTGATTCAACAGAAAACAGTAAAAAAAAAAATGGAAAAAGCGTGGTGTTCTAAAACTTTTGACCAGTAGTGTACGTATTTTGAATATAAAACACATAGACCATGTCTGATAACAAATCTTACTGAACTCAAATGTGTTTATTCCAACAGTTTCACCAGTAAGCGCGCTGTGTCTCCAAACCCTTACCTGGACAACCCTGTGAACGGTTACTCCTGCCCCACAGGGATGGCGCTGCACTACGACGACGTGCCCATCAACGGAATGGTAGGGCATCCAGCATTTAGAGAATTTATCTTTTAAGTGTTAAAATGAATGGTTTGACCTGGTTTGTGGTTAATACTCGTGTAATTATTGGGCCTATCCACGTAAAACAACTGTGGCACAAAGTTCAACATCTTCTCTGTGAAACAAACTATATCTTAAAGCCATAGTACCGTATTTTCTGCACGATTAGGCGCTCTGGATTATAAGGCGCACTGTCATTAAATGGTCTATTTTCGAACTTTTTTCACAAATAAACCGCACCGAACTTTAAACGAAACACAACAGTGTGATGGGTCAGTGGGACTTTGTTTGGTGCGTTCACGGTGACTCTGGGTTTGTTCAGTTGTGGCGTGTAGGGAGGGTGCTGTCTGGGACCAACGGATTGTCGGCGTGTTCGCAGTGACTCAGTTGTTCAATTGTGTCTAGAAGCGGCACATTGCACTTGCTTTTTCGGTTCGGTCCTCCGTTCCGTTCCTCGTCGGCGTGGAGTGACGAGTGCGGCAGCTTATGAGCGCACCCTATAGTGTGGAAAATACGGTACATAACTTTATTTTATTTAAGTGCCAGTAAATCTCCTTTAGAGTTATAAAGAGCCCTGCCAATCATCTGAAATTATGAGTGCAGCTTATTCTCTATGATGCTGAGTTTTTAATGAGCGAAACTTTTACTTAGAAAACTTTTTAATTAACAAACTTAACCCACTAACAGTCTTAACCTGTCTGCTTAACTAACTTTTCTGTGTCCCTTGTTCTTCTGTCTGTAACGCTCTGATGGTCCACGCTAAGGACCCAGACGCGTACTCCACTCCACCCTCCAGGAGTCGCTGTCAGCCCATAGAGGAGGTGCACTATGAGAACGCAGAGCCCATTGACGACAAGCCTGCTCCTAAACCTCTGGCCTCTCGCTATCCCCCTCCTAAAACTGCTACTACTGCTACTACTTCTTCTAGTCACTACAAACAGCCTGTGTCTAAAGTCTCTTCTAAGTTTCTCTCTGCTGATGCTAAAAATAAAGAGCCGGCTAAGGTACTAACACTTATTTCTGTCTTAATCAAATAACTATGCGTTGTCAAGTTTTCTGTCTGTCTTTGTCTGTTACGCTGTGCAGTGGGAATTACCGTAAATTCCGGACTATAAGCTGCTACTTTTTTCTCACACTTTGAACCCTGCGGCTAATAAAAAGATGCGGCGAATATATGGACGGATTATTTGTTTGGCACATTGTCCATTCATATATATGGTCTATTGTTTGGCAACACAGCGGATACACGCAGCCTGAGTGCAGAAAACGTCGCTGTCTGTTCGGTTCACACATGGATCTAGAGTTAATATGAAGTTCCTACGCTAGCTCAAGATATTGTCAGCGCAGTCAAACAGTTTATCGCCGTGTGATAAAATAAGTTATGATGCTAAATGAACATTAGTGAGGGGGATACGTCTTACCCGTGTGCGTAAATGACAAGAAGAAACGTCTCAAACTTCAGTAGCCGCACATCCACTCATACCTGATTGATAAAACTATCTCCGCCCCCGAGAGAGTCTGAAATCTGCTGAAATCCTCCAAGACACTGACATGATACAGACAGAACAGAGACTCTTTCTGCAGGAGACATGCGCAGTAGAGTTAGTTTAATAGATAAGTAGAGCGTGGGGAGAGACTGGGGAGAAGCGTCGAGGAAGATGCTCGTTTCATTGTGTTTTGAACAGTTATTTTGCGCTTCATACACACACCCTCCTCATGGAAAACACTCGAAGAAATGCAGATGATGCAGCTTTTAAGTTAAAGTCGATTGATGTGGCTGTGGAAGAAGGAAACAGAGCTGCTGCACGTGAACTCGGCATCAGTGAGTCGATGGTGAGATTTTGGCGACGGCAGCGTGACGAACTGACTCAACGCAAAAAGACGACAAAAGCTTTCAGAGGCGATAAAAACAGACGACCAGAACTTAAAAACGTTCTTGAAGACATGGACACCTGCAGCTTATATTCACACGGCCTACATATGTACAATTTAAAAATTTTGTTAAAATTTAGTCGATGCGGCTTATATTCAGGTGCGCTCAATAGTCCGGAAATTACAGTAATTTATGTACATATTCAAGCTAAAAAGGTCCTGTTCCACCTTGTGATGCCATGAAGCGGATGTTATCACTTTAACAGCTCCTTTTAGCTTTTACTCAATAGAGATTGGAAATTCCAGGCCTGAAATTATCCAAATTATTTTAGTGAATGTGCATGGATTACACAGTGGAGCACAAATTATTTTTATTTATGTATTTATTTTGGGCAAGCAAGAGATTTACATTCTTATACAATGGAACATGTAACGTTAGTGAAAGCATAATAGAAATAACCACAAAAAAAACAAAAACTAAAATTGCCCAAAAAGGAGTGGAAAGAAGAAAACTTATTTAGTCCCACCTCCCTCTTCTAATTTAACTTTATTTTGCCTTTTTCAGACATTATACATGATATAAATCCTGTTATCCTTGTTTGTGATGAGGAAACACATTATAACACTTCAGAAAATAGCGTAATATTGGGCCCTTTAACAAAAATCTGATCGTGATTAGTGCAAATAATGATATTATGTGTTTAAGTAACGCACATATCGTAGGCTCGCCACTGTTACTAGTACTTCTACCACTTCAAATACTACTACAAAGTTACACAATCAGTACAAAAAGGAGCATTGTGTTCCTAAGCCTTGTTCTGAGCAGCAGGAATGGCTGTGTGTAATTTATATTTTTATAGCCTGGAATTAAGAACCACAAAAGTGACCACAAATTGTTGTAGGGACCCCTTGTTTCTGCTCCTGCTGGGTCTTTCATCTGCTTCTATGTGTGTGGTAAGAATTCAAGGCGCTAACATGGACCCTGTAACCTCAAAAGTACTACTACAGAACACAGCCTTACTATGATATGGACGTGTTTAGGATGTTTTAAGAATTTGGTAAAGAAATGAAGTATAGAAGTGTTTGATTGATTGTTGTTTTGTGACATTTCTATTGTTGTAATTCACAGCAGACCAGGCGGGGCCCGGCAGCCAATGGCGTGAGCTCTAAGCAGAAGACAGACCCAAAGAACCAGGCCAAGAAGAATGGAGTCAGTGTGAGCAACGGAGCGACCTCCCTGAGAAGAAACAGCTCAAGTGAGTAAACTGACAAACAAGGACGTTCCCCTTTTAATGTTCAACTATAAAACGTTTTCTTAAAGGTGCATAGTGTGATTTTTCTCATTGAGGGTCCATCAAATGCTTTTCTCCATGGAAATGTTATTGCTTTGTCTCGAATATTTCACTTTATGGTATTAAACTTTTCTATCTTCATGGAGACCAGATCAGATCAAGTTAAAGGTCAGATCTGTGGAGAGGCGACTCCGCTCACGTCAGAATTAGGGAAAAAAAATCATTATCACGATTCTTCAAACGAATATTTTTCAATTACAGGACGTAGGGCTGGGCGATATGGATCAAAAAATATATCTCGATATGTTTTGCTATATCTCGATATACGATATATATCTCGATATACGATATATATCTCGATATACGATATATATCTCGATATACGATATATATCTCGATATATGTTCAAGAAAAAATAATCCCCTAAAACTGAAAACTGCAAAAACAAATCTTTTTATTGAAGTGTAAGAGGTCGGCAGTTTATATAGGAACATTTAAGATTACAAAAAACCCTAATTACATAAATAATAATTTAATTGTAAAATAAAATAAATAATGCATATTTCCTTCTTTTCATTCATAGATAAAACAACTCAAGACAAGCTCATCTTTGCATTAACTCTGTTATCCAGACCAGAACCAGAACCATGAGCTCCTTCAGCAGAAGAAACTCAGGATGTTCCTTATTTTAACAGATCCATGTTCCAGCAGTAAGGAGCTCTGAGGTTTCCCACAATCCACTGCAGATCAAACCCAACGTTTCCAAACATGTACAAGTGACACTGCAGCAGATTATTAAATAAAATCTTCTCCATAAATAAACTTTACATTACTAAACTTTACATTATATAAAGCACAACGACTCTAGAGCCACATCAGCCTGTTTGACATTATAATGTGTTTAATTCAGTTTTGCGCACGTGTGTTTACGTTTTACAGAAACGAAACTTAAGCGCATGGCTCATTTGCATAAACAGCGCACTTCTCACGCAGCTCAGCTCGTTTAGCTTCTTTCGGGCTAAAGGACGCGACTCGGTGGAATATGAGGATGTGCTGCTGGTGGTTTTGTCTGTCTGTAAATGGTTGAAAAGGTTCGTGGTGCTTGAAGCTTTTCACTGGCACCAACTTTCAGCGTTCAAGGCGATAGTGACGAGTGAAGGAGACACGAGCGAACAAAATCAGGGAGGCGGGGGCGCGGAGGCGACGAGAGAGAAGACAAACAAGCGAAGCGGCGAATTCTAAATTTAATATAAGCATTATATCGATATATACGATATGTCAGAATTCATATCGAGTTTAAAAACTATCTCGATATATTTAAAATATGGATATATCGCCCACCCCTAACAGGACGCATTTATTCAGTATTTCTCTGTCTCTCAGAAAAAACAACAACAGTTTGTTATTGATAATTTACACAAAACTTTCAAATTGAAAATAAATATAGGCTACAAATCTGTACTTTAGAGCAGTTTTGCGATGTGTAAAACATAAAATGAATAAAATATACTTTGAACTAGAAATATGGCATAGAAAAAAAATAAATGTATCCAAAATAAAGTATATATCCAGCTGTTCTACAATCTCTATTTAAAAAAATGAAATAAATTTATATTATTTATATAAAACATATCCCAAAATAAACTTTGTTAAGCTTTAATTGTTTCTACTTGATTATATGAATTTGGAGATTATTTGACACACACATTGAAATTGCGAAATTTAATTCATTGCACAGACTCAGACAGAACGTCTGTTTTTCTAGGTATTTTTGAGCTATAAAACCACTGTAATTGAATAAATGGAAGGTAGAACTGATTAATGTCATACTGTGGAACATTCTAGGCCAAGCAATGACATCTACAAAGAAACAAGTGACCAGAAAAGTTACACAATACACCTTTAATGAAATATGTTTTAAATAATGATTGTAATTAGGCCCAAAAACCCAGGCTCACATTTCCATAGGGTCTTATTATGTATAAAACAAAGCTGTGTGTTTGTTCACTTTTGAGGGTGTGATTGACAGGTGGATTAGCCAATCAGGGACATGCGTGGTCTGTCTGTGTATCAAAACAAACTTGGCTGCTGGAAGAAAGAAAGGGGAAAAATATCATCACAGGGGACTGAAAAACATGACATGTGGATTTGTTTGTAAATGACGGGTGACCAATGAGCTCCTTTGTTGCACATGAGTCACAGAAATAAACAAATCTGACTGTTTCATGGATTTCACAACACCACCGAGTATTCTGTATCACTGTATGAAAGGAAGACCAAATATGATTGTTTAATATTTACTCGTTATCTGGATTGCTTCTTCAAATCTTGGCCACTGAATATTTAAAAGGCCTATACTGCACTACTTTCTGATCTGTTATAATGTTGTTTTCTCATCACACACAGACCCGCAGTTGTGTTTTGTTTCATTCACACATGTTTAACACACAAACCCTGCACACTTAGTCTAGGATATTTGTGTTTTTAAACTCCATACCCCTTCACTAGAATCATTTGGATATTTTCAGACCTGGAATTTCCAATCTCTACTGAACAAAACGTAAAAGCAGCTGTTAACTTGAAAACTACCACTTCATGAGATGTAGACAGACAAATCATAAAGCATTACTCAAACATACGGGTGTGCAAAAATATCAAAATACCAATATATCGTATCGTTTAATGTGCTGATAAAGTGTCCATATCTTGGGCTGCTGTATCGATATATCGCCAAGAATATTTTTTGATCTATTTTACTAAATTATTTTGTTACAGAGATACAGTTTTGTTGTTTGTTTAGAGGAAGGAAACGTGTTTATACAACATATTTGACATTTTCACTGTTTTGATGATTAAAATGTTTGTGTTTCATATGAACTTTGCACAAAAAATGGTTTGAAAAAAAGACTTTGAGTATCACATCCACGATTTAGCCTTTATTTTTTTACTGAACTGTATTGAATCAATTTGAAATATATCGTATCGAATCGAAAGCTCACTGTATTGAGATATGTAATGTATTGTGGCCTATGTATCGAGGTATGTATCGTATCGTGTTTTTCATGTGGGGGTACATGATTCGTGACATCATCCCCCCGAACTTTCAGTACAAACATAAAAGCGCCAGCCCAGTAAAAATGAGTAATAGTTGATGTTTTTTTTTACTCAAAATGGTGTGGAATCATGTTATTAACGCCATTCATAATCCAGGACTAAACTAGGACTAAACTAGGACTAAACCAGGACTAAACCAGGACTAATCTTGGATTTAAGAGCGAGACAAAGAATCCTGAGCCCATGGAGCAGAGTGTCTACAAAGCGCGATCGGGCGACGGCTGCACTTCGCCCCATGGGTCGTGGAGCTCTGCGACGGTCCTTTCTCCTGTAGTCACCCTACAGTCTACACGGGTGCACCTCTGGGCCCATCCTGACACCCAGTCCTGGTTTAGATTTGGTTTAGAAGAATGAGAACTTCACACATCACTTACTTGAGCTGGGTGTGTTTGAGGAGAGGGAGCAGCCCAAGAACATGGAGAAAAGTCCTGCACACCTTCTTACTTGCAAAATGTGAGATTTATTAGGACAAACCCTGCAACGTGCAACTTCTTGCCACAGTTTATCCTCACATTTTGTAAGTAAGACAGTGTGCGGGGTTTTTCTGCACGTTCTTAGACCTGGTTCAGTCCTGGTTCAGTCCTGTTTTAGTCCTGTTTTAGTCCTGTTTTAGTCCTGTTTTAGTGCTGTTTTAGTCCTGTTTTAGTCCTGTTTTAGTCCTGGTTTAGTGCTGTTTTAGTCCTGTTTTAGTCCTGTTTTAGTGCTGTTTTAGTCCTGTTTAGTGCTGTTTTAGTCCTGGTTCAGTCCTGTTTTAGTCCTGTTTTAGTGCTGTTTTAGTCCTGGTTTTAGTTTTAGTCCTGTTTTTAGTGCTGTTTTAGTCCTGGTTTAGTGCTGTTTTAGTCCTGTTTTAGTCTTGTTTTAGTCCTGTTTTAGTGCTGTTTTAGTCTTTTTTTAGTCCTGTTTTAGTCCTGTTTCAGTCCTGTTTCAGTCCTGTTTTAGTCCTGTTTTAGTCCTGTTTTAGTCCTGTTTTAGTCCTGTTTTAGTGCTGTTTTAGTCCTGGTTTAGTGCTGTTTTAGTCCTGTTTTAGTCTTGTTTTAGTCCTGTTTTAGTGCTGTTTTAGTCCTGTTTTAGTCCTGTTTTAGTCCTGTTTTAGTCCTGTTTTAGTGCTGTTTTAGTCCTGGTTTAGTGTTGTTTTAGTCCTGTTTTAGTCTTGTTTTAGTCCTGTTTTAGTGCTGTTTTAGTTTTAGTCCTTTGTTTTAGTCCTTGTTTTAGTCCTGTTTTCTTTTAGTCCTGTTTTAGTCCTGTTTTAGTCCTGTTTTAGTCCTGTTTTAGTCCTGTTTTAGTGCTGTTTTAGTCCTGGTTTAGTCTTGGTTCAGTCCTGGTTCAGTCCTGTTTTAGTCCTGTTTTAGTGCTGTTTCAGTCCTGTTTTAGTCCTGGTTCAGTCCTGTTTTAGTCCTGTTTTAGTGCTGTTTTAGTCCTGGTTTAATCTTGTTTTAGTCCTGGTTCAGTCCTGTTTTAGTCTTGGTTCAGTCCTGGTCCTTCATGTCTCAGGTCTCTATAGGACAGTAGTGTGCAGGTTGTTTTCACTGTTGCCAATAACTCCGGTTTGACATTTAAGTTGTAGCTATTTTATATTTGTTATTTCTTTATATTCCACGTTGGGCAACTTCTTAATGATACAAAAATGAAACAAAACCCAACTCCAGGTCTGTTTTTGAGGAGGTAACAACTTTATAACATGTCTAAAAAGCTCACAAGCATCAATTCTGTGTAATATAGAACTTTGAACATTCTTCCTTGAACCGTTATGGCTCAGAACTCGTATCCCAAGTACCCCGGCTCGTAAAAGAGACAGAAGAGACAGTGCTAGGAGCAGATTTCACTGGTGTGTGTCTGTGGCCGCAGCCTGTAGCGCTGGTCTGCAGACTCCACGGCCCCAGCCCCACCGCCCTGATCACTCGAGAACCAAACTCCCTCCCCGGCCGCAGCCATTTGGAGCAGGCAGGATATCCCAATTACACTGCTTTGAAACAACACTACAAATCCTGTGACGCACGCGGACCAGACCGGACTACTTTCCTGCCAATGTAGGGGGCCACAGCGCTGGAGCAGGGATACTTAGCGGTTGTGCTAATCTCTGTGGTGAGCAATAATGTTTTTTAGCGTAATGTGCGAACTCGGAGGCAAGTAACCGCGCCGAATGCGAAGGGCTCACGTTTCTGAGCAATAGATTGATTTGCAACAGATTGAGCAGAAAAAGTAAAATGAATGACATGCGATGAGTGATGGTTTAAAGAGGCAGTACCCAGTATGGAATTCTTCATCTAATAAAATACATTCTAAAAGCAGCTCTTAGAGTCAAAATGAGAGTATTCTTATTATCGGTGAACCAGAAAGTAACGCTGGTGTTGTCCACTTTGGCTCCTGCTGCAGAAAGTGCTTAAAAAGTCATGTTGGGGATTAAAGGTTGTATAGAGGATTTTCCAAGGAACGAGAAATCCAGCGACTGTTTGTCCTTTTTCAAATGTTGCGCATGCGTGAAACCACCCCCTCCCCTACAGCTCCTACGTAGAAACACCTTAACAGGTTTGTTTACAGCCGGTGCTGCACATGACTTGTTACATTGTTACGGAGAAGTGGGGAGCGGGTGTGCGGACATTTCGTTCGCGGACGAGAAGTGAGGAGCAGGGAGAGAGTGGAGGAGAGGAGAGGGAGCGGTGCGCGGAGCGGTGGAGAGTGGTGAAGCGGAGAGTGCGAATGAACTAGCTACAACACGCAGCAGCAAGCGGACTCTTTCTTTGCCTTGAAAAATTACGTTTTCAGACATAGGATATCGCTTTCGTGTCCTGAAAAACGTTTGTCTAGCTCTTGGAAATAAAGTAGGTTTTCATAATAAGCAGAAGTGACCTGTCCAGGAGTAATTTGTGCGACCAAGTGCGTCAGTCTTTAGACCCTTGCGTCTGCTTCAGTCGCGCCATCGCTGGAATGAATCTTCAAGAATCACCTTAGTTTGGCTTCGCTGCTTTTCCCCTTGTCTTCTTCTTTCAGCGACCTCAAAAACGAACTTTCTTTTGCGGCTAACTGCTCCTGGATTCTTGTCGCCATTGCAACAAACTTTGTGCGAACTGCGAGGAAGATATAGGTCAAAAAAAGCCGCTAAGAACTGTTGCGTTGGTGGAGTAAACAGCGTCTGTGCGTCTTGCGTCTGTGGACTGCGTGACAGGCGTACGTAAACCACGTACCGGCGGCGCGCAGGCAAGTCAGTTACGCTAGAAACGTAGGGAGTTTGATTGACAGCCTGTCAGCTAACAGATAACGAGGCAGTGTCGTTATCTATTGGCAAATGTTTAGCCCCACCACGTCCAGAGTTGATGAATTTTTATTCTCTTTTTTTTGGTCATCATACTGCACCTCTATAATGCTATCATTGACAACTTGAAACAAAAAAAAATCATCCATACAACCTTTAAATAATAATTAAGATGCGAGTTCATTTTAAAGGGCCATTATTACAGTCGTTTCTGAACTCTGTTATAATGTTGTTTCCTCATCACAAACATTCCTTCAGTTGTGTTTTGTTTCATTCACGCACACGATCCCTGCAGATTTAGGTCCTTCTCTCAAACAGAAAACTTTAATTTAAACTTTAACTTCATTGCAAAAAAAAGAGCCATTAGGATTAGGCTCACAAGGTCCACTTTACAAACCAACTGTTTTTAAAATCAGACTTAAAACTTCATGGTCTGGTCAACTTTAAAACGGCTCAAATTATGTTCAGGGCATCTGTCGACTCTCTTCCAGTTAATTTAAACGATTTATTTCTAGATTGAAATGCTCAGCCTAACTACAAATTTAGAGGTATTGAAAAAAAAACGATATCAGCCGAAATTTAAAACTACTTTAATGTTAGTGTGCATCTCAGTACGTGGAGTTCATCTGTGGAGCCTGGTCCAGTTTAAAAAGGTGTTTTAAAGAGGAAACAATGATACCTGGATGAGACAGTGATGCCTTGAGCACAGAGCGTGAGGTCAGGGGGGGGAGGTGTAGGGTCAGAGAGTGTTGGGCCAGTGTGGTGTCTGGATGAGTGTGTGAATATCTTAACACACTAGTCTAAGGAATAATTGAAGTGTTGATCTGTGAAGTGTTAGCCAGGCCGGCGCCACCTAGTGAATCCGCTCAATTTCAGCTCTCTCCTGCGACTAGGTCAGGAATCAGAACACACTAGACGATTTGCAAGAACCCCGGAAGTTGTAGATCATTCACCAGCCAATCAGTGAAGACTCAAGCGCCTGTCTGGGTCCCTTTTGTGGAACAGCACATCAGTAAACAAAGCGGTCCAGATGGATGTAGACGAAAACAGACATTCTGTGTTGGCAACGATTCCCGAGATCGAGGATTTAAAGCCGGAACAAAGAGAATGTTTGGTGAATTTTATTAAGAGGAAAGACGTTATTGCCCTTCTTCCTACAGGATTTGGTACATTACATACATCATGACCAAATAGCAGCGACTGGTTAAATATAAAAAGTACCCGCCTACTGTCGAGCGAACGAATCCTAACGCTGCGAGGTCAGACGGTTTCCACGAAGTGAAACCGGTTGATGAATCAGGCTAATGAAGTGTGGGAAGGGATTTGAAATGTATGCGTTTTGCTTCATCCATCCCCTTTTCAAACCATATATGTTTGTATCTGCGTCTGTACTGTGATGTGTTACATGAATTGTATGTGCAGGTTTGAAATAAAAAACTAACTAATATGTAAATGAAACAAAACACAACTCCAGGTCTGTTTGTGATGAGGCAATACAATTATAACATAGATCATACATCAAAATTGTGTAATATGGGCCCTTTAAAGTTATGTTATTAGGTTCTTTTTTCAGACCAAGAGTTTGTTTTCATACCTGATAGTTTCGACTGGTCACTAAACTGTCAGGTATGAAAACAAACTCTTGGTCTGAAAAAAGAACCTAATAACATAAATTATCGGAAGACCAAATGAACCTCAGTGGACCTGTAAAATGATTATGTAATCTTGGTTTAATCCCGCCCTTCCTTGTGTTGGTCCAGGCTCGGAGCAGTGTAAGTACGGGAAGAACCGCGTGGAGGCTGATGCCAAACGCCTGCAGGCCAAAGACGAAGAGCTGATGAAGAGGAAGCAGGACATCCGCAATCACCTGAGCCAGCTCAAGAAAGAGAGGAGGGACCTGCGCACTGCCCTGGAGGCCGCCACTGGTACTGCAACACGACTCTTATAAATACTTTTTTGATGGTAATAGAGTAGAAAATGGGAGGAACTGTGCCTTTCCTCGTTTCTGTGTAGACTCTGCAGACATGACTGGGCGACAGGTGCGTTGGAGGAGAGGCACTTCACTGTTTTTAAAGAAAACTCCTGCACACTGTCTCCTCTTGATTTTTCTTTTATTTATTATTCACAACGTTTTGGTCACACAAAGCTTCCTCGGGTAAATACATCAGGGACATCAGGTACCTGAGGAACTCTGTGTGACTGAAACGTCGTAAATAATAAACAAAAGAAAACATCAAGAGTGAGACAGTGTGCGGGAGATTTCTGTAAGAAAGGAATTGTGCCCCTTGCAAAAACTAACAAAAGCTGTTTTCGTAATTGTTCATCTCCACAAAACAGGGCCTTTATTAAAACAAAATTGACAAAAATAAGTCTAGAAGTGTTCTGTCAGCATGTCTCTGCTATAATCTGGTTTCAGGGTATTTTAAAATTTGTTATAAATATATGATTCTGATTTGATTAAATGACTAAAAGCCAAATGCTAAAAGAATTAGACCTGCAGTCAAGTACAATTCTTAACCTTAATGATACGTTGCATTTCTTACTGTTGCCAGCAGAGGGTGTATAACAGTGTGACGTATTTTTATTTTTTTCTTATACTTATGTATCTTATCCATAAAATACTATTGGTACATTTTCCAGCATAAATAACAAAATAAATATGAGTGTTAAAGCTGTAATATTGTTGCTGTATGTGTAGGTAAGCGCTCCCAGTCGTCCCTGTCCGAGCGTCTGAAGAAGGTGGAGGAGGAGTGTCGTCTGAAGGAGGAGGAGCGGGTCAACCTGGAGCTGGAGCTCACCGAGGTCAAGGAGAGTCTGAAGAAAGCCCTGAGCGGAGGAGTCACTCTGGGACTGACCATAGAGCCCAAGACCACCAACTCGGCTCTGCAGGTCAGCGCACACGCACACACACACGCACACACACACAGACACACACACACACACACACACACACACAGTTATTCATTGGTTTGGATATAGCACAGTCCTGCCTGCTTCACCCCGTTCAGGTTCTGGATATAAATTTTCTACTCATTTTTCCCACAGATAATTCCCCATAGTCGAACATTTTTTAAGTTGATATATGGTAACTGTTATTTTTTTTGCCTAAAAAGATACTTAAAATTTTTTATTTAGCCACAAAAACCTTCTTAAAAAAATTAAAATAAAAAATGAGAAATTCACTTCTGGAAACCCCGTTGAGCCTCAGAGTTTGTCACTAAATATGTTGCATAAAATAATACCTATATAATGTACAGTGTTGGGACTAACGCATTGTAAAAGTAACGAATTACTCTAATGCATTGCTTTTTGCTGTGACGCAGCAATGTTACAGCATTACAGGGGAAACATATCGTAATATTTTACTGGGTATAAATGTCAGTAACACGCGTCACAATGCATTTTTAAGCTGGATTGAAGTGGTGGGTTTTTCATTTTTCTTCATACAAATTCACTAAAATCACTGCGATATCAGCAAAGCGTCAACATTACGGTTCCGAGTGTTGGGACGAGCCCGGAGGTGCGCCCACGTAAAACATCGGGTGACTGCAGGCGAAAGGACCAGTGCAGAGCTCTGCTTCCACTGGGCTAATAGCAGATGACGCCTGATTGCACTTTGCAGACACACTGCTCCACAGCCTTGGGGTTCTCTCAGGGGTAGTCCTAGATTCCAAGTCCTGGTCCAAGTCCTGGTCCAAGTCCTGGTCCAAGTCCTGGTCCAGTCCTGGTCCAGTCCTGGTCCAGTCCTGGTCCAGTCCTGGTCCAGTCCTGGTTTAGTCTTGGTTCAGTCCAAATACGGCGCAAAATTCAGCAACAGTTATTTTGGTGAGAGTAACTTAAAGTGCTACAATAGTCGTGTAATGTTTTACATTTTAAACACAGTAATATTTTAATGTAACAGATTACTTTGAAAAGACAGTAACAAGTCATAAATAAATAACACATTACAGTTTTGAAGTCACTCGCCCAACAGTGATAATGTATCCTATTTTACCTAAATTAAAAATCTTTTCCCATGGCCCCTTTTGAAGGACAGACTTTTAGTAAGTCTAACATGATTCTACTGCCACCTAGAGGAGAGAGACGATCATTGCAACAGTCTTTTCTGTAACAAAATGCTTTAAACCTGTTTCCACTTGTGTCGTCCCAGTCTCCGGCGGTGGTGCGGCGGGCTCACGGCTCCTCCGCCTTCTCCAGCTGCGACACCAGCGACGCCGAGTCGTGCCATCTGCCCGTGAACAGCGCCTCCCTGCTCCGAAGGCAGCACACCGGCCAGAAACCCGCCACTGCCCGCGGGCACGTGCTCCGGAAGGCCAAGGTCAGTCCAACCTCTCTGCAAAAACTCTCACGCACATTCATACAGAACCATTCATGTGATGTTTTTCCTTCTGTTTTGCAGGAGTGGGAGGAGAAGAGTGGCACATAACTTGATTTTCACACCAGCTCTTGCCTTTTTATCCTTATCTTTTTAAAATATTGTGTATATATTTATTTAAAAAGTGAGTACAACTTTATAAAAACAACACCTACATTAGCCTTGATAAAGAATGAACAAAAAAAGTTAATGTAGCTACTTAAGTAAAGAGTTATGGTTAGGAATTAGGCTTAAAGTATTAATTAATTACCCAACTTGAGTAATTTTTAATGAATAAACTGTTCATTATAGTTTTATTATACATTGTCTGATAGTGTGACAGATTTGGCGTGACAGAAGATGACCAGAGAGCTCAAAAAATCAAACAAACTTGCAGATAGTAGTGTTAAGTTTTTGTTTATGCTTAATTAAGGCTAATTAAATTGCAGTTATTATAAAGTGTAACCAAAAAGTGTGATGTTGAGGACACAAGTAGCATGTAAACCTAGTCACTGATCCTGGAGTGACGGTTGTACTATATTGTAAGTATCATATAATAACTTCACTTTTTCATATTGTGCATGTTTAAATACTGCCATAAGAGCGATTTCTACTCTACTTTTTAATATTTTTTTACTCCTTTTTACCAGATCAGATCCACACACTTTTTCAACACCTTTTGTACAGTTGAACGTTTTGGGTCCAACACAACATATTGAGTATTTATTTGTAAATGTACAAATGATCTTGTAGTTATTCCTTTTATTATTTATGTTGCTGTATTTAATTATATTTGCGTGGCATTGTGGCACTCCAAAGAATCATCACACTCTGAAAAGTGTTTGAGTGGACTCATTGTAAACAAACACAGGTGCTTTTAGGACATTAAAGTTAGTCAGAGGTGGGACACAAAAGGAATCAAGAAGGAGTACAGTTACTTCAAAATAATATTACCCGTGTACTATACTACTACCATAACTTCCGGACTATTGAGCGCACCTGAATATAAGCTGCATCAACTAAATTTTAACTAAATTTTTTAATTGTACATATATAGGCCGCACCGGAACATAAGCCGCAGGTGTCGGCTTATGTTCGGGCCGTTTGCTTTTATCGCCTCTGAAAGCTTTTGTCGTCTTTTTGCGTTGAGTCAGTTCGTCACTCTGTCGTCGCCAAAATCTCACCACTGACTCATTAATGCTGAGCTCACGTGCAGCAGCTCTGTTTCCTTCTTCCACAACCACATCAATCGTCTTTAACTTAAAAGCCGCATCATCTGCATTTCTTCGTGTGTTTTCCATGAGGAGGGTGTGTGTATGAAGCGCAAAATAAATGTTCAAAACACAATCAAACTAGAATCTTCATCGGCGCATCACCCACGTCTCCTCCCGCGCTCTACTGCGCATGTCTCCTGCAGAAAGAGCCTCTGTTCTGTCTGTGTCATGTCAGCGTCTTGGAGGATTTTAGCGGATTTCAGACTCTCTCGGGGGCGGGGTTAGTTCTTTAGATCAGGTCTGAGTGGATGTTCGGCTACTGAAGTTTGAGACGTTTCTTCTTGTCATTTACACACGGGTAAGACGTATCCCCCTCACTAATGTTCATTTAGCATCATAACTTATTTTATCACACGGCGATAAACTGTTTTGAGTGCGCTGACAATATCACGAGATAGTGTAGCAACTTCACGTGAACCCTAGATCCATGTGTAAACCGCACAGACAGCGACGTTTTCTGCTCTCAGGCTCAAATCATAGACGGTATATATGAATGGACAATGTGCCAAACAAAGGATCCATCCATATATTCATGTATTCGCCGCATCGTTTTATTAGCCGCAGGGTTCAAAGTGTGAGAAAAAAAGAAGCGGTTTATAGTCCGGAATTTACAGTAGTAAGAGTACACTTGATTTAGAATGGGGTGTTCAAACTATTTTGACCGAGGGCTGCATATCTAAACATATAAACTGAGGACCTCGGACCGGTGGTGTGGATAATGTAGCTATGACAGAACCACATTTGGGCCAATTCAGCATGATGCCTGAGCGCCAGGAAAAACTGACCCAGGTCCATAGTTTGGACCAGAGGTGGGGACTTGCAGGTCGTGACATGGACTCGAGTTAGACTTGAGTCACTATTTTTAGAACCTGAGACTTGAATTGATAAAATAGACCAAGATTTGGAACTCGACTTGGATTTGAAGCTTAAAGACTTGGGACTTGACTTGGGCTCGTGCTCTGTGACTCTGAGACTTTATATTCTGACCATAATGATTCACACTAAGATCTTGGCAAGACATTTAAAAAGGAAAAATTAACATTTCTACAAATTTTATATAAATACTCATATATAAATATACCATGACTTTTTAAAGTACAGTTCTTCAGTATCTTAAAAGTCATATAAATTGCAAAAACAAAAGCTATATTTGGTAGTTTGGTTTAAAGACTTGAAATAACTTAAAGCTCAAAGCAGACGACTTGGACTTGACTTGGACTTATGGGCCACTGATTCGAGACTCGACTTGGACTTGTCTATCTTTGATTTGGGACTTGACTCGGACTTGAGGTCAAAGACTTGAGACTTGCAAAACAACGACTTGGTCCCACCTCTGGTTTGGACACCCCTAAAATAGAAGCTGAAGTTAATGTCATTTGAAGGAGAAAACATTAAGTGATGGGAAAATTAGAAATGAGATGTTATAGCCAGAAAAAACGCACTTAAATTAAAGAAACGTCCTTAAATTGACGTCCAAAAGAGAGAAATCTTTGACTGAAACCTTTGAATTGAAAATGAATCTCTTACTTCTACGTCCAACCCTTCTACTTTACTGTGCCGACAATGCCGATTTACAAAATGTTCAAAACATAATAACCTTTTATATTTTACACACTTAACAGACGCTCTTTGTCTTGGTGCTTTGTCGTTCACTGCCTTTAGACCAAAACCGTGTGGTGCTCCAATGTCTTCAGTACACAGTAGAATTCCTGTGTTGTATCGTAGTATTCTCACGTACATGTACACGCTCCTGCTCCTCTGCATGGTCACAGTGGATCTGTTGTAGACACTTGCTGTGAATGTGAAGCCGCTGTACATATATCACTTTGGCTTTGTGGGACCACGCATCAGTGTTGTGTTTTGCACCTTATTCATTTTCTATTCCTCATGTAACCGACCGTCTCCACTTCGGAGTCATACGCTTTTTGTACAGAACTCAATAAACTTACAAAAAATGTATATATACTGAGAGTTTGGTGATTTCATTTGAGTGTTTTTGATGTTATCCAATTAAAAGTGGGTAGAAAGAGAGTGTGGCACCTGCTTGTCTCCATGGAGATGATCCATAGTGGCATTGTACTTATTCATGTTTTAATGATTTATTTGTGCATTCAGTAAATTTCTGGTGTTTATATATAATACAAAAAAAATATTAACAGTACGGTATTACACTTAAACTTTTCTGTCTCCATGGAGATCAAACCAGGGAACCAAGTTACAGCTCAGATCTGTGGAATGGCAACTCCACTCACAGTCAGAATGCCTGTTTTTCTAGGTCAGGGGTGTCAAACATACGGCCCGGGGCCCGGATCCGGCCCTCCAAGACCTTTAATCTGGCCATTGGCTGATTTTCTACTAAAATATTTTTATTATATTTTCTATTAAAATATTGGTAATTTTCTGCGGTGCTTAGCAGAGCAGCGTCTCCAGTGCCTCTGTACGTGGCCCCTCCCACCACAGCACAAATGATGACTTGGCTCTTTCCAAACACTCTTAAAGGACGATCATTTTGACCGTGACACCCTCATCAGCAAAATGTCAAAAATGAGAAAAGTTGACGCTGAGTGCAGGATTTTCCAAGAAAAATTGACACATTCCTATTTTCATACAAGTTCATGTTAAAACATTGTGTTGAAATTGTTTTTTTCTTAGTTTCAGATTGTTCATAATATTATAATATTTTGTAAAAGTTCATCAATTAAAGATTTCTGTAATAGATTTCTTTTTGTTTCTCTGCACAAATATTTGAACTTATTGTTATTTTTGGGGTTTATATGACATGAGTTTTCTGATCCGGCCCCTTTGGGATCAAAGTAGGTTGGATACGGCCCCCGGACCAAAATGAGTTTGACACCCCTGGTCTAGATATTCCATCCATTTTCTTCCGCTAATCCAGGGCGGGGATGCGGGGGAGCAGTCTAAGCAGGAACTCCCAGACGTCCTTCACGCCAGACACGTCCTCCAGCTCCTCCGAGAAGGCGCTCAGGAGGCCACCTCAACTGGGTCCTCTCGACGTGGAGGAGCAGCGGCTCTACTCGGAGCTCCTCCCGTGTGACTGAGCTCCTCACCCTAGCTCTAAGGGAAACTCAGCCACTCTGCGGAGGAAACTCATTTCGGCCGCTTGTATCTGAGATCTCGTCCTTTCGGTCATTACCCAGAGCTCATGACCATAGGTGATGGTTGGAACGAAGACTAATCGGTAAATCGAGAGCTTCGCCTTTCGACTCAGCTCCTTTCACCACAACGGTCTGATACAGCGACCGCATCACTGCGGACGCTGCACCGATCCACCTGTCAATCTCACGCTCCATCCTCCTCTCACTCGTGAACAAGACCCCGAGATACTTGAACTCCTCACCCACCTGAAGAGGGCAAGTCACCTTTTTCCGGTCGAGAACCATGGCCTCAGACTTGGAAGAGTTGATCCTCATCCCAGCCGCTTCACACTCGGCTGAAGACCGCCCCAGTGCACACTGCAGGTCCTGGTTTGGTCCATAAATACAATGAATAGAACCTTTTTTCTAGGTATTTTTGAGCTATAAAACCACCTCTAATTTAATAAATGTAAGCTGGAGATGTTTAATGTCATGCTGTGGAACATTCCAAGCAGAGCAATGACATCTCCATAGTAACAAGCCAACCAAAAAGTTACATAGTGCTGTTTTAACATTACAGCGACTGCAAAACTCCACCTTCTGAAAGTTGAGAAAAGTTTTTAAGCTCATCGTGGTGAATAATCTGGATGCTAGAGTTAAAAGTTTGCATTAGGGATGTTTTGGACCTTTTAAACAAACTAATTCTGTTTTTCACTTTTTAAAGTAAAAATCAGCTACAGCGCCTGTTGTACCTCTACCTGTTTTTGATAGATGTCTGTTCCTGGTTTGATATTTTAATTAATTGCCTGATTCCCATCCTCTGCTTCCCCTAACTCTTATTTTTATGATCCCATTACCCTGGAGACGAAGCAGGAAGCAGGTGATGGACAAACTATGGGAACTGCTTATCCAAAATATTATAATGCCATGCTGTGGAAGATTCTTACAAAAGGAATAACACCTCACTGACGGTAAGAAGGCGGCTTAACACCCAACCAGACAACTTACACCGTGAACCTTTAGTTAGAGTGAAATCTTTCAGAGCAGGATACAACACTCAATGAAAATCTCAACTCGGCTATAAAATGTGGATATCTTTCTTGCTTTTATCCACTAGATGGCAGCAAAGATTAAGTATTTATTCACCTCTCCGAGCACAAACTGTGAATTGAGTTGAAAGTATGTAAATATGCAGGGCCAAAAGTACTACATTCCCTAAAAATATAGGCTACTTAAAGCCACAATATGTTACTTTTAGCCAAAAACACTTTATTCATTTAGTTCACATTGCAAAACATGTGTCCTTACTGTGAGCAAACTTCCATTGTAACTTGCAAACCAGCCCCTGTATCTTCTTCTATCAGGTGCTGGGGGACGTCTCAGTCTGAGCCTGGAGCTCAGGGCTGTGACCTCCTCTGTCTGATCAAGATTCCACTGTGGGAAAAATACATACTTATATTAAAAATGTATTACAGCAAATAATGTAGTACACATTTTCTACACCAGTCACTCTATACTCTAAAGCTAATAAATATACACGCTGTACTTGTACCAGTACTTGCTGTAGCTCAGTGAAGAGACAGAAGCTAGCGATAATGGAGAGGTTTCTAATATGAAGCTGTTTTAGATCAATACTGTGTTTACACTGCACACATAATGCAACTAAATACCAGAAAAAAAAACACACAATATGTTTTCTTTAATATGCTGAATTTCCCACTCTGATGGAGACAGGAAATGAATGTTGAAAGCACTTGCACTAGTTTCAAGATCCATTTTTAAATTTATTGTTCATCCAACCACAACACACAGCCTATGCATATAACAATACACATTTACACTGTTCACCCATGAAAACTGAACTTGTGTCTTTGAGTGTGATGTTGTTTAACGTAAATGTAAATGTATGGAGAGAAGGTAATCTTCTATAAGTATAAGTGTGTACTTAAAAGTGTAAATGCACATGCAGATGGTTAATGTGTGTAATCTTTAAGGGTCAGTGCACACTCCTGCTCAGTCTCATGTGAAATCACTTTTTCTTTCTGTTGTTTCAGGCTGAAGATGGTTCTTGCTCAGTGTCCTGTGTGAGAACTCAAAACTCTACAGTTGCTGTTTTAAACAATAAATTGTAAATATTGTACAATAAACTGTTGGTGCTGTTGCCTTATTTCACATTACATACAGTTTGTTCTCTGAAAATATGTTAAATATCATACTAGCCAAAATCATCTCAAGTCTATATGAGACTCACACTCTTATGTGCAGATCATTTAAGCCTGACAAGCAGCATTTAAGTATTTTCTATTTGCACAATAAAAAAACTGCTGCACTAGCCTGACGTTTAACAGACAGCTGAGGTATTTTTCACTGAAAATGATGATGCATCCAAACAGCCTGTGTCCTGATAAACGCTTCAAGTCTGAATACATAATATTTATGTAAACATAAATATTGTTCTTTCTGCTCTGTGTGAAGCACACACTTTATTCACATGTCTGTGAGAAGTTCACAGAGACACTGACACTGTCACGAAAATTAAACCTATGACATTTATAGGTAGGTAGCAGTAGGTAGTTTTGTGTCTAACTTTTCCCTTTGTGTTTGCAGGTTTGGGTGGTGTCCTCGAACGCTTCTACAAATACCAGTTTATTATCATCATTGTTAATTAGTTCATAGTTAATTTAAGATAAATCTACTTTGTGTCTTGCAACTGTGAGACATGAAAATCATCTGCGGCAACTGTAGCAGATGTAGATGTTAGTTTATTTGATGTGAATATCTTATATCAGAGGCTTTGCTCCAAAATATGGAATGAATGAAAGAATTGATCCAGAGCACCTTGCTGGAAGAGTTTACCTAAACTCTGTGTTTTGGGTTGAACTTCAGCCAGCTTTACCCCAAAGACCCAAAGATGAATTTAAAACTGTTTTGCTGAAATAAACTAGTCTTTAAGAAACAGCTAAGTGAAACCGTGCTTTGTTGAATACTGCTAAGATAGTTTTAATTGTGTACTCCCAAAATAAAGCACTTAACACTGTGATGTGTTACTGACTGTTTCCTTTGTGTTTGCAGGTTTGGGTGGTGTTCTCTAACCCTTCTCCAGGTATCAGCTTTATTATTATCATCATTGTTAATTAGTTCATAGTTAATCTAAGATAAATCTACTTCATGTCTTGCAACTGTCAGACATGAAAATCATCTGCAGCAACTGTAGAAGATGTTAGTTTATTTGATTTGAAAACAGCTAAAGCTAAAATGCCATGACTGTCATGTTATTAACTCTTCAGTTTTCAGGTTTCAGGATGACGTCCAACCTAAACATTCTAATCTGACCCTTTTCAGAGATTGTTCCTGTTTAATTGTGTAATGTTTAATACTGCTAAGCTAAACCATGCTAACTTTAGTTGTTTACTGCTAAGATAAACACGACTTTATGTAAGTGTCTAACTCTTGAGTTTTCAGGTTTTTGCCCCGGCTCTGTCTGAAGACAAAGCCACAAATGGACCCAAGAATGTAGAAACCTCAGGAGACAAATTGCTGAAGTGATCAAGAAGGGAACATTTTCAAAAGCTGTAATCAAAAATATGGATGAATGGATGAGAATTGCTGTAACACTGATGGAATTCAGATTCCAGAGAAAGGATACACACTGAAGTGCAACAATTTCAGCTCCAAATGCACTGTTAAGTCAAAGCACTAAAATATTAAAATAAGACTGAACAGAAGTGAAGAATCCTGAACACAAACAGCACCAGACTAAACACCGAAGAACATAGAGACATGTGTGTTGTGTAAAACAACACAAACAACAAAAAATAGGATTCTAAAGTCAATAATGCAAAGAAACTTTTTTGGGGGTATTTATGCACAAGTGAAATTTTACACCTCACTCATGTAATGTCGATGGAGTCCAAAGGAAGAAAAGACCAAAGAAAATGGAACCAAAAGGAGAAACCCACATCTTTTTAAAACCTGATCATTTGGAATAATCTTAATACACAGGATATTTTTGTAATCCCTTTTTGAGGGAAATTCTCCCTCTGCATTTGACCCATTCATCATCAGCAAAGTGCTGCTGGGGCAGCCTGTCAGGAGCAGTGAGCTGCTGCCATACACCTGTGCAGATTCTGCACAGAAAGGAACCTTCTGGCTGTGAGGTGACTTTAACTCAGGTACTGACTTTAACTCAGGGTGACTTTAACTCAGGTAGGTGACTTTAACTCAGGTAGGTGACTTTAACTCAGGTAGGTGACTTTAACTCAGGTGATGACTTTAACTGACTTTAACTCAGGGTGACTTTAACTAGGTGACTTTAACTCAGGTAGGTGACTTTAACTCAGGTAGGTGACTTTAACTCAGGTAGATGACTTTAACTCAGGTAGATGACTTTAACTCAGGTAGGTGACTTTAACTCAGGGTGACTTTAACTCAGGTAGGTGACTTTAACTCAGGTAGGTGACTTTAACTCAGGTGACTTTAACTCAGGTAGGTGACTTTAACTCAGGTAGGTGACTTTAACTCAGGTAGTGACTTTAACTCAGGTAGGTGACTTTAACTCAGGTAGGTGACTTTAACTCAGGTAGGTGACTTTAACTCAGGTGACTTTAACTCAGGTAGGTGACTTTAACTCAGGTAGGTGACTTTAACTCAGGTAGGTGACTTTAACTCAGGTAGGTGACTTTAACTCAGGTAGGTGACTTTAACTCAGGTAGGTGACTTTAACTCAGGTAGGTGACTTTAACTCAGGTAGTGACTTTAACTCAGGTAGGTAGGTGACTTTAACTCAGGTAGGTGACTTTAACTCAGGTAGTCAGGTAGGTGACTTTAACTCAGGTAGGTGACTTTAACTCAGGTAGGTGACTTTAACTCAGGTAGGTGACTTTAACTCAGGTAGGTGACTTTAACTCAGGTAGGTGACTTTAACTCAGGTAGGTGACTTTAACTCAGGTAGGTGACTTTAACTCAGGTAGGTGACTTTAACTCAGGTAGGTGACTTTAACTCAGGTAGGTGACTTTAACTCAGGTAGATGACTTTAACTCAGGTAGGTGACTTTAACTCAGGTAGGTGACTTTAACTCAGGTAGGTGACTTTAACTCAGGTAGGTGACTTTAACTCAGTAGTGACTTTAACTCAGGTAGGTGACTTTAACTCAGGTAGGTGACTTTAACTCAGGTAGGTGACTTTAACTCAGGTAGGTGACTTTAACTCAGGTAGGTGACATTTCTGTGTGAATCATCATCTCAAAACAAGGCCTGAATATGCTGAGGATTTTTTGTTACTTTAGTTTTAGGCCTAAACTGGTCCAAAAGTGGGCCATATTCTAAACGTTGGTTCACTTTTATGGAGACTGCTGGTCTCTTTTGGTCTGATCTGGCACTAGGAGACTTTATACCAGATGCCCTCCCTGTTACTGTGTTTAGAGGAAGAAAAGCAGCACATGGTGAGTTTTGTTTCTGCAGATACAGTTCTAATGTTCTTGTTCTTCTGTTCTGGTCCATTATTGTAGTAATAATTGCTATAAGTGTATTTAAACATGTACAACAGAGTAGATCATCAGAATGTGATCATGTGTTATTCTGTGTCCACAGGCAGAGACCAGAGCTTCTTCACTGGAATAAATCTTCACACTTCACAGGACTAAACCAGGTTTTAGACCTGGTTTAGTCCTGGTTTAGACCTGGTTTAGTCCTGGTTTAGACCTGGTTTTAGTCCTGGTTTAGACCTGGTTTTAGTCCTGGTTTAGACCTGGTTTTAGTCCTGGTTTAGACCTGGTTTTAGTCCTGGTTTACACCTGGCTTAGATCTAGTTTAGACCTGGTTTAGACCTGGTTTAGATCTAGTTTAGACCTGGTTTAGACCTGGTTTAGACCTGGTTTAGATCTAGTTTAGACCTGGTTTAGTCCTGGTTTCGACCTGGTTTTAGACCTGGTTTAGATCTAGTTTAGACCTGGTTTTAAACCTGGTTCTAGACCTGGTTTAGACGTGGTTTAGACCTGGTTCCAGACCCGTCTTAGACCTGGTTTAGACCTTGTTTAGTTTCCGGGAATGAGTGGAATTACCGAGAAAAAAAAAAAAAGAAAAAAAAAGGGATATAGCCTGAAATGTGAAAACAGGAAAATACCGCCGTGTAATCCATTTATTTCAACAAAGTAACTGTAATCCAATTACCACTCACTGAAACAGTAACTGTAACTGAATACAGTTACTCATAATTTGTACTCTGATTACATAACTCCAGTACATGTAATCTGTTACTCCCCAACACTGCTGGTGACATGTTCTTTTTCATCCTGTTAATATGAGCATTTATATCCTGTTCAGAAATTTCCTCTACAAGGTTTTCATTTTGCACTTTAGTTGCTTTGGGAAGTTGTTTTATTCAAGATTATTTGCAGCACACACACCTCCATCATAACTGGATTGTTTTCAAATGGACAGATCTTTTTGTACTTCAAGCTTTAAAATTGTTTTCATTCTTCTTTGAGCTTCTTAATACAGAGGTATTTTTGGAATCACAGCACCATAAGAAAACAACACAGAGACACCAGAGTGGAGAGAAATCTATGACACAGTAGTTGAACTCAGTCACTTCCTCATGCTTAGACGGGTTCAGAGCAGGGGGCGGGGCATGTCTCTTCCCTCTGCACACGACACTCACTTCTGTAAAAGTGAAACTAACACAGTCATTCTGACTGAGTGGAGACATGGCGCAGCGAGCTCTAAACCAGGAAACCATAACTTGTCCCATCTGTTTGGATCTACTGAAGGAGCCAGTGACTCTTCCCTGTGGACACAGCTACTGCAGAGACTGTATCCAAACCAACTGGGACCAAGAGCAAAGGTACAGCTGTCCTCAATGCAGACAGAGCTTTGTCCCCAGGCCTGTCCTGGTCAAGAGCACAGTGTTAGCTAATATAGTGGAGGAGCTGAAGAAGACAGGGCTCACAGCGCCCCCTGCTGACCACTGCTCTGCTGGACCTGGAGATGTGAGTTGTGATGTGTGCACTGGGAGGAAGCTGAAGGCTGTCAGCTCCTGTCTGCAGTGTCTGGTCTCTTACTGTGAGACTCACCTCCAGCCTCATCGTGATGTGGCAGTACTACAGAAACACCAGCTGGTGGCGCCCTCTGACAAACTCCAGGAAAACCTCTGCTCTCAACACAACGAGGTGAAGAAGTTGTTCTGCCGCACAGATCAGCAGATCATCTGTCACCTCTGTTCTGAGGACCAACACAAGGGCCATGACACACTGTCCACTGCAGCAGAAAGGGCCCAGAGACAGACACAGCTGCAGGACAACAAGTCCCTGCTGCTCCAGAGTCTCCAGCACAAAGAGACAGACCTGAAGAAGCTCCAACAGGACGCCCGGGACATCAATGTCTCTGCCCAGAGAGCACTGCAGCAAAGTGAGGACATGTTCTCTCAGATGGTCCTTCTCCTGGAGAAAAGACGCTCTGAAGTGAAGCAGCAGATCCAGTCTGAGCACGAGACCAAACTGAGTCAAGTCCAAGAGCTCCAAGACCAACTGCAGCAGGACATCTGTGATCTGAAGAGGACCATCTCTGAGCTGGACACACTGTCCCTCACTCCGGATCATAACCAGTTTATACTGCACTGTCCTCCACTGTCCACACTCACAAAGGAGACAGAGTCCAGTGTCCAGACCGGACTAAGAGGGGACTTTGAGGACATGATCCGAGCTGTGTCAGTGCTCAAGGACAAACTGCAGCTCACTCTGAGAGAGTTTAAACTGACTGAACCTGAACCACGCACCAGAGAGGACTTCATGAGATATGCACAGGACATTACACTGGACCCAAACACAGCAAACAAATATCTGTCTCTGTCTGATGGAAACAGAAAAGTCACATTTATGAAACAAGAGCAGAGTTACCCTGATCACCCAGAGAGGTTTGTTCAAAGGTTTCAGGTCATGAGCAGAGAGAGTCTGACAGGCCGCTGTTACTGGGAGGTGGAGTGGAGTGAGGACTGGTGGGTTCATATAGCAGTGTCCTACAGGGACATTAAGAGACAAGGGACCATAAAGGAATGTGCATTTGGGTACAATGATAAATCCTGGGCCTTAGACTGTTACAAGAGCCACTACTCATTTTGTTTCAATAATGTCAAGTCTGAGGTCTCAGGTCCAATTTCGTCCAGAATCGGGGTTTACCTGGACCACAGTGCAGGGGCTCTGTCCTTTTACAGTGTTAAGGAAGAGAACATGACCCTCCTCCACAAAGTCCACACCACCTTCACTCAACCTCTGTTCGCTGGAGTCAGGTTTAATTACTTTGGAGACACTGCCCATTTCATTAAACTCAAATAAAATGTATCTGTCTGTTCTGGTGAAGTTAGAGGATGTAGACAGTGGGAGTGTTTTTAGAGATGAATGTAAAATGTAAAGATTCTGTTTAAGTTGATCTAAATCTAATTCATCTTGTACGTTTAATGATTATTACGACTACAATTACCACTAGCACAATAGTATTATTATTACTAGCTACTATGACTACATGAACTGAGAAACAATATCTACAGTTGTTTTTTGTATTTCTGAGTTTTGATCAAGTTTCTCTGACTTGGTTCAGATGATCAGACTTTTGAAGTCATATTTTCTGTCATAGAAACATAATCAAAACTAAATTGAATAATGTTGGGAGTGTTCAGTGTGTTCAGGGAAAAGGGTGTGGGCCTATAACTTTATAAAAATATATTTTCTTTATATCATTGTTTATGATTTTATGATATTATTTCTTGAGCACATTTCTAAAATCTGTTTAACATCAGTGATTTGTTGTATATGCAGATATATATATGTATTCTTTTTGGTGTGTTCAGATAAAAATAAATAAAATACTCAAACTATTATCAGTGTGGAGTCATGATTTAATGAAAACATGACAGGACCAACATTTGTGTTTTTAAATGTTGTTTTGCTCCATGTTTAGTTTAGTTACATTTCTTTCTTGCACATAGTTTAATGCAAGTTTTTATCACATTTGTTTTAATATTGCATCATTTTTGTCTATCTGAGTCTCATTTTCTACAAGTGAATTTCTCTACTTGTTTATTTCTTGATTCTAGAACAAGAGAACGTCACACCTTCAAATGGGAAAAAGATCTTAACTCACCAAAGAGTGAAACTGAGAAAAATGACTTCAGAGTTTCTGTTTTGTCCAGACAAAAGTATAAAAAGTGGAGCTCCCAAAATCTGACTATTAGTTGCTATAATGAAGAAATATTACGTGTACGTGAAAAATATTGAGCTCAAAATTGACCTTTGACCTTTATTTGTCAGTTCCTGTTCTGTCGTTGTGCAACAGTAAAAGCAAAAGGCAGGAACAGACATGATCATTATTTGTTTGATTTTCACCAGACTTCCATCCATTATAAGACAGTGTTGGGGAGTAACAGATTACATGTACTGGAGTTACGTAATCAGACTACAAATTATGAGTAACTGTATTCAGTTACAGTTACTGTTTCAGTGAGTGGTAATTGGATTACAGTTACTTTGTTGAAATAAATGGATTACACGGTGGTATTTTCCTGTTTTCACATTTTGGGCTAAACCAGGACTAAAACCAGAACTAAACTTGGACTAAAACCAGGACTAAACCAGGTCTAAACAATATGATACCTAAAAGTAAGGTGCATATAATTGAAGGCAGCACTGGTCTCATAGAAAAATTATTTCTCTATCAATAATATTTTTAATACGGTTAAGTAAAAACTGGGCTTTTTATTGTCTTTTAGCAAACAAAACTTTTTATGTTAAGATCCTCGTCTTTGCTACTTTACAGTAAACTAAAGTCTGTTCATGGAGACTTGGGCTCAACAGACAATATGAAGAGAACAAACAAGAATTTTCAGGATGTGGTTGTATCCATGTAGTTTTAAAAAGCATGACAATATTATGTAATCCAAAGTATTCAGATTACGTTACTCACTTTAAGTAATTTAATAGATTACGTTACAAACTACATTTTGGGGTATGTAATCTGTAGTCTGTAGGGGAATACATTTTAAAAGTCACCTTCCCAACACTGTTATAAGAAAAACACTTCACCAAGGTCGAGTCATCATGGAGTTTGTTTGAAATAATGTAGAAGAGCTTTGGATTTCCTGTTTATTGCTGATCAGGATCGTGCGGCAAAACTTAAACAGTTAAACAATCTGACACACAAATGACTTTGCAGTATAGTGTGTACAGTATGAATAAATACACCAAATACTTTCACATTAAAGATCATTTAAGTATAATTGAATACAAAGGTTTATTTATTTAATGTGTTAAGACCCTGTGCCAAGACCGCGACAAAAAGAAGAAACTATAAATACTAAATATTATAAACTATAGTATTTACATGCGTAAGAGTGAGATAAGATTAAATTTAAGATTAAACTTTATTTGCAGTTATGCTGGTGGGTGAAAAAAAGCTTTATTTGTCTACAATATTTAACTACAATAACCATGATCCTTTGCTCCAT